GCGGCACCGCTGGCACTCCATGTCATTGAGAACCACATTATTTTACATGTTACTTCATATGTGAAGTTTGTATAATAAAAACACATGATGATGGCAGCAGTGCTACAAATCGTACTTGCCAACATGTCCCCAACTGCCAAACATGGAATGAAAAAGTGGTTATCTGTAGTTTCCACCATTTTACGTAGATAAATATATATCACTAAACTGTTCCCAACTATTCCAATGAGAATAAATATCGCCAGGAAAGCAATGTTTGGAATGAAAATATGAATAAAATGTTTATTTATATCACTAAAAGATGAATTAGCAAGGTTGATGTTTTCTAATATGTTAGCCATTATTGTTATCTTTTATAAATAGGTCTAACATGTGATATATTAAATCCCAGTCTAAACTTCACTGAATTTCAAAATTAAAAGTTTGACGATTTCATATATAGTTATTTTTTCCTGTATTGTGTTGTATAAAACTGAACTTTGGTACTTATTAAAGAATTCAGTTTTTTTTTTTACAATTGAGATATTTGAGCATTTCCTTATGAGGTTAAAACACCTATGAAACTTTGTAGTCTAGCCAACAAACTTTAAATGTTTTTTAAAAGTATTATTTCCTCATTTTTTTCTTTCATTTAAAAGTTTTACGATTAACTATTGTTTTCTGGAAAACAGACACTTTTAGTATATATTTAGTTGTAGGATATAATACAATAGACTTTAGAATTGAATACAATACACTTGAGTTATCAGTAGCTTGTTAGTATGTAATATGCCATCAAAATATATAGTTTGTTATAAAAAGATTTTTAAGGTTAATTTTAAGAGATTAAAATGGAGGTATTTCTTTAATTGATTTACATTTGATGATATGGAATCAAGTAAATAGAAAATGTATATAATTAAGTATGTTTATTCTTAATTTCAAGTGATATATATGTTAATAAACAAATAAAGTAGGTTTTTAAATGAATTAAAACAGGTCATCTTTATAAAATTATCAAGGAATATGGTATATGAAAATGAAACAACATAGGAAATTAACACAAGACTATAAAAGTTATTATAACACTGTAATGCAGGCATTATTTTCCCTTGAGGAAGTCAATAAAGCACAAAGAGATCATCCCACTATAAAAAAAATTGTCATATCCATGTATAGAGGAAATTAAATCTAGCTTGGATTTCTAAAAACTCCTTTAACAGCCATAATAGTGTAGTGAAAAGAAATTTTTTTCAATGTAAAAATAGGGAGATATGGTATGATTTCCAATGAGACAACTATCCACCTGAGACCAAATGATGTAGAATGTTAGCAACTATAGGTCACTGTATGGTCTGAGTAATTTGTATAAAACAAGGTTAAAATAGCAGTAAGGAGACCAAAGGACAAGGTCAAAATAGCAGTAATGAGACCAAAGGACAAGGTCAGCATATCAGTAAGGAGACCAAAGGACAAGGTCAAAATAGCAGTAATGAGACTAAAGGACAAGGTCAAAATAGCAGTAATGAGACCAAAGGACAAGGTCAAAATATCAGTAAGGAGACCAAAGGACAAGGTCAAAATAGCAGTAATGAGACCAAAGGACAAGGTCAAAATAGCAGTAATGAGACCAAAGGACAAGGTCAAAATATCAGTAAGGAGACCAAAGGACAAGGTCAAAATAGCAGTAATGAGACCAAAGGGCAAGGGTATAAACAACTATAGGTCATCATATATCCCTCGACAATGAGCAAAAACCTTACCATAATGGAAGGCCTTTGGATAACAAAATGTTTGACAATTCAGTAGAGAAAAAGTTATATCCTGATTTAAGCTTAGGTCATTACTGTTTTCATTCTTGATTGTTCATTAATCATTTATTTAATCTGAAACAATTTTTAAAAAAAGAAAAATTATATATAACTATTTGTAACTAAATGGTTGATTAAATATTTTCTTTGTTATCCTACTGTATATTGACTCTTGTACAAGTTGAATGCAAGTGACATCACTTGGATTGCTCAGGACTTTCTGCAGTTTTCTCCTTCAATTCCAGCAAGATAAATTCCAGATAAGAAAAGATAACTCCTTTTTTTTAAAGTCAGTAATAGTTCCAGCTACTGTTTCTTGTTTGGAAAATTATCTGTAAATCAAAACTAACAATAAGTCTTTGATTTTTTTATTCAATTGGTTAGACCGGTGGAAATTTAGATTTAAGATTTTAGAAGAAAAAAAAAACAAAAGATAACTGGTAGTTGAAATTCAACATAAAAGGCAGTGAAATATACATCATACAACATAAGTAAACATCTTGATGAGAGATAGTTGAAGAAGTATGTCATCCTTTTAACTCATACTAGAATGATAAGTATGTCTTAATATTCAAGTAGATTCAATGCATGAAGCTTAAAACTAGGTAATCATTTAAGCTGCATGCTTTGATCTGTATGAAAAATTTTAGCGTAGGAAAGCATTGATTTCATATATATAGACGTCCTAAATCCCTATTTGATTCATAGCAAACAGAAAAAAAATTAAGATGCATGCACCACTGCATGAAAAAATATTTGTGAAAATTTGTGAGGATGCATATTCTAGCTAGAACTTTATTAATATGCAGGATATTCGTACATATTCTAATGATATGGATAATTTCAGGATTTTAATTTTCTTTAAATTTTACACAAATGACAGGATGTTGAACTTTGTCATTTTTGTTGAAATTATGGATGTGGGGTATGTGATTTTTCTGGCTAACTCCTCCTACAGTTTTCAAGCTAGAAGTTTTATATTATGCAGGATGTTAGTATATATATTAAGAATGTGCAAATGTAAAGGATTTCCTTTTTATTTTAATTTTCAATAAATGGCAGGATGTTGAATGCTGTCATTTTTATTTCCCTTACAAAAAGTCCAGTGGTTTACCTTTATCATTACACAGTGGTGTAAAAATTACAATCTTTCTGACAAATAGAAGGAGTAGTGCAAGAAATGTTGTTATATGGGATTGGCCATAAAACTAAACTTTGTAATATTATATGTAAAATGTTATATTTTTTTTATCTTAAATATACAAATTTAAATAAACTAGACCCCTTTTGTGTCAGCTGCAGGCACCTGTTCATTTGAATTAAGTTGACAGCTTCAAAAATATGATATTTTACAACTTTTTATCTAGATTCATTGCAATGTATGCGTTAGGTTTATTTTCTTCTGAAAAATTTTGGCCATACCCATGGACCAAAAAAAAATTGTTATAGAAAGTTGCATACGTGGTCATTGCATGTGGCCTATGTTTGTAGCAAAATTATTATTGTTTAGGCAAAGATTTTGAACCCCAACTGAAAAATTGTCATTATCAGTCTTTTTTTCGATTTTGATACGATCTTGAGAGGTGAACATCAACCAAACTGTTTCTTTGTCATTCAGTTATTCCCTTATGGTTACAGGTTGCACTTTGTAAATACAGCTGTTTCTTAAACCACGCCTCTTTTGGGGAGATTTAGAATATTCATAGATAATTAATTTTGTTTACATACTGGTTCCCAGTTCTGATCTGTAGGTTGCATCTCATAGAGACATAACTTGGGAATGTTACCAGTAAATATACATGTGAATATTGTTTATATTGAAATCTGTGGTAACCCTACAGTCGAGGTAGGGGTAGTTAAGAAATTTAGTGTTAGTTTAAACTCTTAGAAGTTCGGGGCATATAAACGTTGAAAATATGCCGCACAGCCCTATATTTTGACCTTTGAAAAAAATAGTAGTGCATATGAACTTTCCATTCTAGGATATGATTTTTTTCAAAACTTCATAGTAAAAGTGGAACAGTTTTTGCCGTAAAGGGAGATCCTATGGGAAAATGCATTGTCAATATTTACAGAAATGCAACCTACAGCAACCCAATCATGCTGACTGGAGGTAAATGTAACTTGATTGTCTTGCAGGGGAATTATTAAAGGCAACAAAGGTCTGCCAAAATGTCCGTTTTTACAGATTCTTGCATGCTGTGAGGGCTTCATCTTTGTCTAGTTTAAATAGAGGTGGGGAATATGGTTATGAAATATGTGAGTTTATTGTGTACATCTTTGAATTTTGATACGTTTAAATATCGCTATAGATAATTTTGATACGTTTAAATATCACTATAGATAATTTTGATACGTTTAAATATCACTATAGATAATTTTGATACGTTTAAATATCACTATAGATAATTTTGATACGTTTAAATATCATTATAGATAATTTTGTGTCCTCATTTATTGACATTCTTTTATTGATGTACAAGTCCTGATAGCACTTGATAGAACGAACCAAACCACAGATTAAGGAACTGAAATTGTGCTTCTTTTATTTAAATTTTTTATCTCTTTATATATAAATTTCTCAGGCTTCCTGAAGCCAGACAGGTTAGGGGTGGCAAATATCTGTATAACAAATGGCAGAAATCATGAAAAATACACTTTTTGATTTTTTATGATATAGATTTCTTGAATTCCTAGAGTTATATGAGATTGATTGTTGTTTGCTAAATGTCCGGTTGCAAATATTTCATGCATGTTCAGGATGAATATTTGAATTTTTCTTCAGATGAGATATTCGTTAGACCATTAGGTAGAAACTATTGAAACCCTCAAGCAAGAAGTTGTAGTGTTACTTAAATCCTTTATCAAGTTTAATTTAAAAGAGGATAAAAATAAATTATTTGAAACATATAATCAGCATCAAGTTATAGTTTGTAAAATATATTTATATCTCCTAAATTTTATATTGACACTTTCAGACCAGCTAACTATCCCGATTAAAGGGGGATATCCCTCAACCTGAATTTTGAAATTCTTTATTTTATAACTGGAACACGTCCTCAAAACAGACATTTAAATGAGTTAAAACAGTATTTAAGCACATACATACTAATTCAAAAAACTTAGAAGTAGATTAAAAACGCTTAAAATCCCCCATTGAGATTTTGAAAAGTTGGCAGGTATGCAATATGTAATTTTTTTGTTTTCTAGGTTGTAGACCGGGAATCAAGGTAAGATATTTCATTAAGTAATTAGAATACATAAAAAGATTAAACAGGAATTGCCAAAAATACAACACAATAGACCAATAACACCAACCACCAACACCAGCAATAAATAGTCATACAAACAAACACAAATTCCAACGAACAAATCATGGTATAGATAGCACAGCTCAGTACAGATACAAAAGGTGGTAGGGGTTACAGGAGTTTTACTTTTGCACAAACCTTCCCCTATGTCTATTTAGACCATATGTTGTTAAACTAAAACAATAAAACCTGCCCAAGCTACAAACAGGATCTATACTACCTTTAAGGGCATAAGATACAGTTTTGATCCCACTGTGTATTTTTGACGAAAGTTTGCATACAAGCTATTTTCCACCTAGTCAATTAAAATATGTAATAAAAAATATACCTTCATGTGCTACTTTTAGAGATAAATTGGGTCGAAATTTTAGAAATTTCAGTTTCTTGGACATTTCTATCCTTTGGAAAGACATACCTAACTTTTTTTTTTCAAAAGATAAACACAAGCAGATTTTTGTAAAAAGACCTTAGGAATATCTTCTCTACATAAGTGTGCTTTGAATTTGTATAACAATCCTTTGGAAATAATTTCATGACTTTAGTAAAAATACAGCATTTTTTGCTGTATATTATTCTAATTTAAAAAAAATTCATCAGTGATTTGTCCATAAAAATTGGCACAAATAATCTTCATACATAATCAAGCCAAATGTCATTTTCAAAAAGAGGGGTACATGAACTCGTTTTCAAGTTAAATCAGTCTAGATCATAAAAATCAGTGGAAAAATGCATCTTTTCTCGATGTAACAGTTTGATGTCCTGAAAATTAACATTTTAAGTTGGTGAGTCATTACCTCCCCTGTAACTGTATTGTATGCCCTTAACAAGGAGATAAAAAACAGAACATAATTTGAAAATGTGCTCACTACTACAGGGAGCTAACTATGTAGCTACAGCTGCTAATGGTTCAGTTCCATCTTCTAATGGTTCCATGCTAACCTAGGTAAGTGAAATACTGTACCAATTCAAGTTGTTCTACATTTACTTTGATATCTGGTGTTTTCTCCAATTTAACAAATATAACAAAAAGAAAATGTGGTATGATTGCATTGTCCATCAGACAACTTTCCACTAGAGACCAAATGATGTAGAAGGTATCAACTATAGATAACAACACAGCAGGGCCTTCAACAATGAGCAAAACTCATACCACACAGCAAGCTATGAATTGTCCCGAAATGACAAATGTAAAACAATTCAAATGAGAAAAATCTGACAGCCTGATATACAGCAACAAACTACAACCACTGAATAACAAGCTCCTGAACCAAACATGCTGGAATTCTGTTCTAGTTTTTCAGTTTTAATTATACCCCACGCAATGAAGTTTCATAGGGTATAACATTTTGGACCTGTCTTTCTGTCAGTCCGTCAGTTCAATTTTTTCTAGGAGTTATGCCCTTTTTAACTTAGAATTATGGCCTAAATATACTACTGCAACAGTTTGTCATCGCCCCTTCTCTGAATCCACACAACAGTATTTCATGAAACTTTGTAGTTAATGAGGACATACTATGTAGATGTGCATATCTGGTGAGCTTTTGTTTGCCCAGTGACAATGTGGGGGTGTGGGGTATGTGAGCGTACTTACACAGGTTCTTTAATTTATATTTGATTTTCTGCATGGGATAGTAATGCAGGGTCATCTGCATAGTCTATTATTCTCAAGGTTTGAAGTAAGGGTCCATTTTACTTTCTGTGTTTGTATTCGATATGGTTGATTTCATTACTTAGTTGATTGCATTATGATAAACAAATCAGATGACATGACACATCCTTGTCTTTCTCCAGATTTAACCAAAAAACTAGTGTCTGGGTTAGAGTCTTCTGTACACTTAAAGTTGGTGTAGAAGGCTTTGATAAGCAGAATAGTTTTGGCAAATATCCATCAAGATTGTCCATAAGCTCTCTCAATGTAACTGTCAAAAGCTTTTGTTTATCTGTACCTGTAGAGAAATTACTAACAAAAGCACATGAGTTGCACATGTGAATCACATAAGATGCAAGTAAGAATTGTATGCAAATTAGATTGCTCATATGTGCAGTTTGGTAGTTCATATGTCTTAAAAAAATCTATAGAATCATTGCAATATACATATCCATGAGACAGGGTTTAATATATGAATATATCATAATAAAATAATGCGAAAAGAAACATTGTAAGGTGATCAACATGTTCATTTGACCTAATGTTTTCATGGTTTATTGATCTTTAAGTGATTGAGTCTGTCAGTTTCTGTAAGTAATAAAATAATTCAACTATTATAAGTTTACAGAATCATTTTGAGGTGTGCATGTCATCAGCACAGTTCATTGATCAATATTAAGATTTATAATTCACTCACTAAAGAAAGATTATTTTTTAAAATTTGATCTTTTTGCTTCTATTGATTATAAAATTATTATTGTATTTAGAATTGGTGCAGATCTATCTTTACCGATGATGGCTGATTTTATACTTTACTTTTTCAGTAAAATCAAGTTGATAATAGCTATTTTGTTAATTTTTTTTAGCTATGGGGCAAATTGGTTCCAACAGTTTGGAAGCTTAACATGGAGAGCCTGGGCACAGAATGTCAGAGATCCATTGATTCTGAAAGTCAAAATCTTTCAGACAATTGTAAGCAGCTGCTATCTTTAAAATATAAATGTTTTATTAAATTCAGTTATTTATTTTACACCCTGTTTGAGAAGCAGGCGGTAAATAGTGCTTAGATGATGATGTTCTGTAGCTCAACTCACTTTAAAGGCCATGTGAGCTTTTCTAATCACTTGGTGTGTCCTTCATTTGTTAACTTTAACTAAAATCTTCTCTGAAACTGCTGGACAAATTTCAACCAAATATGAACAAAATCATAATCATAATTGATAAACAACATGTCTGCAAAGTACAGCTCACTTTAAGAATATATTTCAGATGGTGAAACTTAGTCACTCACTCACTTGTCAGCAACATTCTCGATGGAGAGTTCCCATTTTTGTCTAGCCTTTGACTAAAATGTGAGACATAGGAAATGTAATCTGGTGGTGATTGGGTAAACTATTTATATAAAGCTTTATATTTTAGGAGGTAGCTGACCTGGATACATCATACCTTGTATACAGATGCCTTATGGTCTAATGTTTGCATCTGTCATTTGTCCAATATCCTTCACCTCATTATCATGGCTCAGCCACAACTTGAAGAAATGTAGTTTTTTTATCACATTAATTTCTCACTTATTATTAGTACATTGTAATAAGATATGTATTTTGTATATGAAATCATTGCAAGGTTTACATGTCTGTCAGACAGGGTTCTTAAGTGTTCGTGGTCAAGTCAATATCTCAGATACTATAAGCAATCGGTCAACGATATTGTGTGTATGGAATGATTGTATGGTGTACTTCTCCATTTGGCAGGGTTCATTAGACTTTGACTTCATTTGACATAGTTCATTTGTCAATGTTATGTTTTTGTTGTTAGGTCAGTTTCTCTGATACTATAAGCAATTGTTCAACTGATATATCATTCAGAAATGTTTTTACAGTGTACATGTCCTTTTGGCAGACTTCATCTGACCTTGATCACATTAACATTGATCATCTTAATCTTGTTTCTTAAGATTTCCCATATTATTAGATGATACTTAGATAAATATTAAAATAAAGAATATGGTTCAGTCTATATATAGCTAACTAACTATGTAATTTAAATGAGTAAATACCGGTATATTAATTTTTTTTGCAATTTGTACTTTATTCTTTTAAATCATGGACAGGATACTATGTTCCAAACTATTAGGCAACCTCAGTCATGGTGTATTAACTTTGAAACTTTTGCTTAGTTTACATGTATTAGTTTGTGATTAGGTCAGTTTATTGTGAACCACTAGTGGTAGGTCAATGATATTTGGTATGCATATGTATTAGCATTGGCACATCTCAATTCTATAGAGATTGTTTGACCCTGTACCTTCAGTCATGGTTCATTGTTTCAATATTTTGCATAACTTACATGTTAATTAATAAAGTATTGCTATTTTCATTTCAACATTTGCATTTTACTATCAAAATAAAAAGGCAAGACATATCTCTGTGTCAACAGTTTATTCAATGAACTTACTTTATACAACCAAACAACTATTTTTACACGTAAATAGGTTTTATGGATTAATTTTTGTTGAGCCTGCCACTTCTGTCACAGATAGCTAGACATAGGGATATTGATCTGGCGGAGGCGGCGGTGGCGGCATTAACTATCTACTTAAAAGCTTAATATTTCAGAAGGTAGAAGATCTGGATGCTTCATACTTTGTATATAGATGCCTTATGTTATGAAGTTTCCGTCTGTTATATGTTTATTGTCCTTGACCTCATTTTCATGGTTTAGTGACTTTCTTGAAAAAAAAGATTTTTTGTAATGTTAATTTTGCTCTAATTATGAGCTGTAGGATAAATATATTTTATTATGGTACGTTGCAAGGTCCTAATGCTTGTTAGACAGTTTTCACTTGACCTAGACCTCATTTCATGGATCAGTGAATTAGGTTAAGTTTTCGTGGTCAAGTCCATATCTCAGATACTATAAGCAATAGGTCTATTATATTTGGTGTATGGAATGATTGTATGGTGTACATGTCTAACTGGCAAGTGACATCTGACCTTGACCTCATTTTCATGGTTCAGTGGTTAAAGTTAAGTTTTTGTGTTTTGGTCTGTTTTCCTAATACTATATGCAATAGGTCAACTATATTTGGTGTATGGAAATATTTTATGATGTACATGTCTGTCTGGCAGGTTTTATTTGACGTTGACCTCATTTTCACAGTTCATTGCCCAATGTTAAGTTTTCATATGTTTTTCTTAAACTATAAGCAATAGGTCAACTATATTTGGTGTATGGAATGATTGTAAGGTTTATATGTCTGTCTGGCAGGTATCATCTTACCTTGACTTCATTTTCATGGTTCATTGGTCAGTGTTAAATTTTCCTTGTTTAGTTTGTTTCTTAGAAACGATAAGCAATAGATCAACTATATTTGATGTATAGAATGATTGTAGGGTGTTCATGTATTTCCTGTTTGGTTTATCTGACCTTGACCACATTTTCTTGGATCATGTTAAGGTTATGTAATAGTTGTAGTAAACCTTTACATTTAGGACTATCAACATAAAATCAATGGTCAGTAAAGCAGGCAATACATTTCAGGGTGTGCACTCTTATTGTTATTTCAAACATATTTCGGGGCTTCGGTGGCTGAGTGGTTTAAGTAGTTACTACTGTAATCACTAGCCAGTCAACACTGAGGTTGTGAGTTTGAACCCCGCTCGTGCAGGTGCACTCGACTCCAATCTTAATTGACTAGGATTGTCAGTTTTCCTATCGAAGGTCGTGGTTTTCTCGGGGCACTCCGGCTTCCTCCACCAATAAAAACTGGCTGCCACGAAATAGCCCAAAAGCGTTGCTTAAAAATGGCGTTAAAACACCAAATATCAAAATCAAATCAAACATATTTCAAGACAACAACAATAAAACATATTGTTTGAAGACAAACTGCTGATAAAAAGAATAATTGCATTTTATTATACGACCGTAAAAAAATTTTGTGGTTGTATATTGGTATGACGTTGGCGTCGTCATCTTCGTCGTCCGAAGACACATTGGTTTTCGCACTCTAACTTTAGTTTAAGTGAATAGATCTCTATGAAATTATACCATAAGGTTCAATACCACAAAAGGAAGGTGGGGATTGATTTTGGGGGTTATGGTACCAACAGTTAAGGAATTAGGGGCCAAAAAGGGGCTAAAAATAAGCATTTTTGTAACTTCCAGACATAACTTGTGTGTTAGTGTATGGATCTCTCTGACATTGTACCACAAGGTTCCATATCACAAAGGGAATGCTGGGATTGATTTTGGGGGTAATTGCCTCCAAATTTTAGGAATTAGGGGCCAAAAAGGGGCAAAAAACTAGCATTTTTCTAGTTTCATGACAATAACTTGTGTGTAAGTGTATGGATCTCTCTGACATTGTACCACAAGGTTCCATATCACAAAGGGAATGCTGGGATTGATTTTGGGGGTAATTGCCTCCAAATTTTAGGAATTAGGGGCCAAAAAGGGGCAAAAAAAACAAGCATTTTTCTAGTTTCATGACAATAACTTGTGTGTAAGTGTATGGATCTTTATGAAATTGTACTACAAGGTTCCATATCACAAAGGGAAAGCTGGAATTGAGTTTGGGGGTAATTACCCGAAAAGTTTAGGAATAAGGGGCCAAAAAGGGGCCAAAAATAAGCATTTTTCTAGTTTCCAGACAATAACTTGTGTTCAAGTGTATGGATCTCTCTGAAATTGTACTGCAAGGTACCATACTACAAAGGAAAGGCTGGGAGTTTTATTTTGGGGGTAATTGCCTCAAAATTTTAGGAATTAGGGGCCATAAAGGGGCAAAAAAAAGCATTTTTCTAGTTTCAGGACAATAACTTGTGTGTAAGTGTATTGATCTTTATGAAATTGTACTACAAGCTTCCATATCACAAAGGGAAAGCTGGGTTTGAGTTTGGGGGTAATTGCCCGAAACGTTTAGGAATTTGGGGCCAAAAAGGGGCCAAAAAACAAGCATTTTTCTAGTTTCCAGACAATAACTTGTGTTCAAGTGTATGGATCTCTCTGAAATTGTACTGCAAGTTACCATACCACAAAGGGAAGGTTGGGATTGAGTTTGGGGGTGATGAATCATAAGGGGGTTCAAAAAATTTGGGGGGGGGGAATTTTTTCTTTCCTTTTTTTTCTTTAAAATTTTCCATTTTAAATTAGTTATTTCTGATTTATATATAAAAGCAAATAATAATGATATGGTTTGAATAGGTAAATCAAAAATTTTTAAGTTCTTAGACCACATTCATTCTGTGTCAGAAACCTATGCTGTGTCAAATATTTAATTACAATCCAAATTCAGTGCTGTTTCAAGCTTGAATGTTGTGTCCATACTTGCCCCAACTGTTCAGGGTTCGACCTCTGAGGTCGTATCAAGCTGCACCCCAGCGGAGCATTTTATTTTTTATAATGATTTCATCAGCTGGAATAAAATCAGCTCATTCATCTTAGTTTGCTCCTGTGATATTCTTGCTGATGATGTTAGTATCAAAAAAATTTTAAAAAATGCAATCATTCTGTCTGTATATTGAAAGTTTGATGTCTGTTTATTTTACAGTTTGTAGGAGTTGTACTTGGTCTGATATATCTCCATGATAACAATGATTATGATCAAAAACGAGTGGTCAACATCAATGGAGTGCTTTTCTTATTGCTGACCAACATGAGCTTTTCAAACATGTTTGCTATCCTGAATGTAAGTCAATATTTTTACAGATAATAGCCAGTCTTGTTGGTTTAATCTTCTTAGATACAGACAACGATTATGACCAAGAAAGGCTGATCAACATAAATGGTGTTATCTTTTTAATTCTCTTGGAAACCACTGCAAATACCTTGTTTGGTGTACTTCTTGTGAGTTTTTAGTCTCTTGATACCCACTGCATATGCCTTGTTTGGTTATTTTCCCGTTCAGTAATGTAAGTTTTCCTGTAGCTGTGGGGAATTAAAGATCAAATCACCATTCTCTTTCAGCATTGTTTTGTTGGATCTTCTTTTCATTATAATGCTCCCCCAAAAAAACAAAAACAAAATTTTTGAGGATATATTTTGTCCCTTTGTCTGAAACAAATTCTTTCTGGATGAAATCTTGTTTCCCATGCTAAATTAAAATGAAACTCATTATTAGTTATACCAATGGAAGTGGAAATTTTGAGGTCAATAGGTAAAAGTTCAAGGTCACTGTTACTAAAAATAGACATTGTTTAAACATTTGAGTCTTCCTTGCTAAAATTGAATGAAACATATACCAATGGAAGATCTAGGGAGGGAGGAGATTCTTATTGATTTTGGAGTCAATAGGTCAAATGTCTAGGTTCCTTTTACTAAAAATTAAAAAAATTGTAAAAAGATGGTTTCCGGATGGTCACTAGAGTTGTCTTTATTGATATCAAAATGAAACTAAAATAGAAAGACAACATAGGGAAGAGGAAGAACCCTAATGCATTGAAGGTTGAAGGTCAAGGTCAAGCTGTTAAAAATAGACTGAAAATATAGAAAAATGAGGTGCAATTTGTTGTTTCTGAGTGATTAGTACCCTTATTGAATTTTGAAGAAAAATATACAATTGCTAGATAGAAGGAATTAACTTAGGTTGCGCATTTGCTGTTTTTCGTTTTTTGCCATGGCATTGACAGTTCTCTTTCGACTTATGAGTTTGAATATTCTTTTGGTATCTTTTAATGTCACATTTATAAAATAAATATCTATATCTTTTATAAATTCTTTCAGATCTTGGTTTCAGGATACAATGTGCTAACTATGATTTATTATAGGAATATATATATTGAATGTGCCTCCCTAGCAGTCTAACCAATGTTAATTAGGAACTCTTTTCCAAGTTTTATTTATAATAGGGCCCAAAAAAGGGTTTGTAGATGATATCTAGATGAATCTCTTGAACTAGACTTAATTTTTATTTGTCATCATTGGGCCCCAGACCTGGCAGGTTAGACTTAGTCGTGGGAACACCTGCTCAAATATGTGTGCTCCAAAAGGTTTTCTGTATATAACGGCTCAGTAGATTGTACTTGGAACAATTTTTGCTTTTAAAAACTATGACTTTCTAAAATTTTCAGCAGTATTAACTGGTATATGGGGACAATCTATTAATCTATGGTTTTTGGAACAAATGTTTGACGTGCCATGACTTTCTATCTGTTAGTCTTTGCATGCCTTGTTATATTTGAATTTGTAAGCTATAAATAGCAGAATAATGCCTTTTAGTTAGTCCTTTGTTGATAAGATTCTGCTGACATGACATACTTTACTATTGCTTGTATGATATGAAGAAGACATCTTTTCATTTGAGGTCACTAGGTCAAAGATCAAGGTCCCAGCAGCAATTGGGGCAAATTTTTAGTTTCCATGTTTTATCTTTTGAATCATGTCAATCATTCAACTTATTGAGAATGCCCCTTGGAAACAACAAAACATCTATAGACTTTTAGGTCAGTAGTTAAAAGGTCAAGGTCACAATTCTATTTTCAACCATTTAACATTAATGTAGCAGACTTTACAATCCTAATCACTAAAACCAAAAATACTAGACCAATCTCAGAAATATGTTTCTTCCACTACAAATCCATAAAGAATGCCACTTGAGTTCTGGTTAATTGATTGAAATGATGTGTTATGTTGTTTAGGTGCAATGACTTCTAAACATTTCAGCCAATCATTTCAAATTTTGATATGTTTTAATTTTAATATGTTGCTTCTGGTGACAAAATAGAGGAGAAATAGACGATATACACTTTTGCTGTTCATGAGTAATGACCCTTGATATCTTTAACGATGACACTTATGAATATAGCAAAATCCTGTAAAATTTCTATTAGACCAGTTTTTGGGCAGAACAAAAGGTTACTTCTGTTACAATTGTTAACGGTTTGATATAAAAAAGTGAAAATAGTATCAGCTTTTCTTTCTGGAAAATGTACAAAACTATTAGTATATAAAGTTCATATGTTATTTAACTTCTTATCATGGGGTTCTTCTCTAATATCAATTACTGTTTATGTTATCTCAATTAAAACTTTGTCCCTTTTAAAGTGTAAAAAATCCTGTACACCTTTTTCAGTTACATATGATAACTTTAATACGCAAACAATTAATACATGTAAGCTCAATGAAGGGAAAATCAAATTCCTCACAGTTACAAGTAACTTGAATCACAAACCTGCAGAATTGCACTGATCAAGTCTTCCATATATACTGATCAAGTCTTTCATATATACTGATCAAATTACACACTGATACAAGTCTTCCATATATATATATTTACACTGAAACAAGTCTTCTATATACACTGATACAGGTTGTAACTTGGATGGAGAGTTGTCTCATTGGCACTCATACCACATCTTCCTATATCTATCTACTTTCATATACACTGATACAAGTCTTCCATATACACTGATACAGGTCTTCCATATACACTGATACAGGTCTTCCATATACACTGAAACTAGTCTTCCATATACACTGATCCAAGTCTTCCATATACATATATGCATTGATCCAAGTCTTCCATATACACTGATACAAGTTGTCCATATACACTGTTCAAGTCTTCCATATACACTGTTCAAGTCTTCCATTTACACTGATAAAAGTCTTCCATATACACTGATACAAATCTTCACTTTACACTGATCCAAGTCTTCCATATACACTGATACAAGTCTTCCATATACACTGATACAGGTCTTCCTTATACACTGAAACAAGTCTTCCATATACACTGATAGAGTTATAAGCTGATCAAGTATTCCATATGCACTGATCAGTGTTCAATATACACTGATCCAAGTCTTCCATATACACAAATGCAAGTCTTCCATATACACTGATACAAGTCTTCCAAATACACTGATCCAAGTCTTCCAAATACACTGATCCAAGTCTTCTATATACACTGATTCAAGTCTTCCATATACACTGATCCAAGTCTTCCATATACACAGATGCAAGTCTTCCATATACACTGATACAAGTCTTCCAAATACACTGATACAGGTCTTCCATATACACTGATCCAAGTCTTCCATATACACAGATGCAAGTCTTCCATATACACTGTTACAAGTCTTCCAAATACACTGATCCAAGTTTTCTATATACACTGATTCAAGTCTTCCATATACTTTGATCCAAGTTTTCCATATACATTGATCCAAGTCTTCCAAATACACTGATCCAAGTTTTCTATATACACTGATTCAAGTCTTCCATATACTTTGATCCAAGTTTTCCATATACATTGATCCAAGTCTTCAATATACACTAATACAAGTCTTCCATATAAATTTATACAAGTCTTCCATATACACTGATGCAAGTCTTCCATATACACTGATACAGGTCTTCCTTATACACTGATACAAGTCTTCCAAAAACACTGATACAAATCTTCCATTTACACTGATACAAATCTTCCATATTTTACGGCCTACAATGCGATGATGTTACGATTATTTCGATGATTTTTGGTATTTTTTCACATAGTACACCACTTTGAATGATGTTTACCGTTAAAACGAAGTCAGTGACCCTATTATTATTTTACATCATTAAAACGGAAATTTTTGTACCAACAACATGTGTTTTTTTAAGAAAAATCTATGAATTAAGAATTGGAAATTTTATGATATTAAGACAAATTTAGGAACGTTTTTCGCCCATTTTATGTGCTTTCTATACAAATGTTCACCTATTTTGAAAGAACTCAATCAGTAATATTTCAGAAAATAATAGAGATAAATGCATTATTTTTTGTTTTTCAGTTAAAGTTCAACAGGCCAAAGTTGTATGCAAAATTTTAAGAAAATCTGTGACATAGCCCATTTACTGTAACTTGACATTAACTTCATGTTTACTCAACAGGCATCTTTGTTGAAATCAAAGGACATGTCACATTTTATTTGCATTGACATTATCTAGAGTAGACATTTGTTCACATAAAGAGTTAAATCTTTTTCCACAAATTGAACATGTGTTTGATCTTTTGTCTTAGAAGTAAATACACATTTAGTAAATGGTCAGATACTTTCAAATGTTCAAATTTATAAAAAAATAAGGAGATGTGGTATGATTCCCAATGAAACAGCTATCCATAGATTTAAGGACAGTGTTGTGAACAAGTTTGCTGTCACTGACTCTATATTTAGTTAAACATATTGTTTTTGTGTATATAAACTGTAATTACAAGTATTATGTGTTGCATGAATAAAGGGTTAAAACACCTGTTTAATGTAAAGATAGAAAATTAAAATAGACATAGAAATATTAGTATGTAGTTTTGATTTAGCTTTCAGTTTGCACAGTCATCCATATATGTACTGCAAGTACACTTATAGTGCTTATGGAAGGAAAACACACACTGGATTATTCCTTATTTGGCATTGCATTTTAAGGACCAGTCCAATAAAGATTCATGCAAAATTTTCTTCATGTGTTGAAATCCTACACATGAAATATTTTTATATCTATAATTTAAGATGTATCAAGATATGGAAATTCCCATTTAATTTTTTTCATATGGACTTTTACCAGTTGAGTTATCAGTTCTATTGAATGCATTACAACTCATGCAAGGGAGATGACTCCCAATATTATCCTAAAGAATCTATTTACATAATAGTTATTGAAAAACTGGTCATTATCGCGTTATATGGACTACCAACAGGACAGTGGTATTGACTAAGAAAGCGATAATGACTGAGCCGTAGGCGAGGTCATTATTGCTGTCGCAGTCAATACCACTGTCCAACGGGCAGTCCATGTATCACAATAAAGACCAGTTCTTCAATAACTATTATGTTTATTTCATTGAGGAACCATGTTTTTAAAAATTCTCATAAATTCAAATTGTTCAAAGCAAACTTGAGTTATTGTACGATTTCTATAGGAAAGAGTGAAGACCAGTCATAGTGATAACTATAAGTCACTGCCATTCACTTAAGTGCAATTTTTCAGTAATTAAATAAAAAATTAGGTTTTCTATAATTTTCTAATTAACGAATCGCGATTGCGTTTTTTTAAAGTAACATCACTCTAAACATAGAAACCATGCCCCACTGGTCATTAACATGTAAAATTCCTTTAACAACCGGTTTTCTGGTCCGTTTTTTTCTGTTAAAGACAGATGGAATTTTTTACTAAAGAATAAAGAATGTCATGTGGCCCCTTGTTATCCAATAAGAGAAGCTAATTCTTAACCGATATGAAATAATGTAAAATTCATGCCAATTATCCATCCTCATAAGGCAGTAAATAGGGAAAAATAACTCATTTCTTTCATATACACTTATATTGCTATCTTATGACAAAAACAAATATGTGTAGCCTTTCATGAGATGCATCACAAAATTCTAATTTTGCTTGATTTTTATATGGACTATTACAAACTCCTATTCAAGGTTGAATCTTTACCTATCCAACATATCCTTATACTTTGTAATCACAGTCCTGACCTCCCATCCCCATTCTGGGAGGGCAGACTTTTCAAAATTGACTTATTTGATATTTTTTTTATTAGTTCTTGTCCAAGATATGCATTATATTAGCCGCTGAACCAGGCCATTGCATACTGTAGATGAAAGAGAAACAAGTATATTTAAAATCACTTCTGTTTTATTCCTTTCCACACAAACAATGTCTTAATGCATCTTTGTGCTGCTGCAGCCAACAATGCTTCAAGGTAATTCCTGTTAGACAACAGAAATCTCCAGTTTGTGAAATTGAACATGTTAATTCAGTTCAATGTACTTTGTGTACAATTTGGAGTTTAGTATGGCGTTCATTATCACTGAACTAGTATATATATTTGTTTTGGGGCCAGCTGAAGGAAGCCTCCGGGTGCGGGAATTTCTCGCTGCATTGAAGACCTGTTGGTGACCTTCTGCTGTTGTCTGTTCTATGGTCGGGTTGTTGTCTCTTTGACACATTCCCCATTTCCATTCTCAATTTTACTGTTCAATCTGAATGTACCGTGCACTGTAGTTGTAATAATGTGATATGTTCTGAACATTGTAGGCTTTATAGTTTCTTTTTAGCCACTGTTTGTCTAAGGAGAGGTTTTTTTTTTTAACAAATGGCTGCCATTTTCGTTTTGATGGTCAAACCATGAGATTTTTGGTATCGTGTTTTTGACACTGACAATAATTGTGGTTTTGATACTTTGGTTTTTGTCTGCATGAACTGGTTTGAACATGCAACAAAAACCAGATCACACTTTTCACACATTTTTAAGTGTCAAATTCATATTTCATGTTTGCAAAATTATGTCAAATTAAATATTGACCTATTTTGTTAAAAATTGCACCTGAAAGTTGTCTTGTTTGTTTTTATTGGACGTTTGATTTTCTATTTCCCCTTTGTATTTTCTCTCTTTTAGAAAAAATAAAATCTTGACCCTAATAAGCAATGAATGTCACAAATTATTTCTTAATCAACATTATAATTACAACCTTTATCAATGATATAAATAGGAAATGTTACAAATAGCATTGTACATTTCAGACATTCCCTATGGAATTACCTATTTTCTTACGAGAGCATGGCAGTGGTTTATACAGAGTAGATACATATTACCTGAGTAAATCTATAACAGAACTACCATCTTTAATTATTCTTCCTGTATTGTTTACATCTATACTTTACTGGATGGCAGGTTTGTATAATTAAAACCAATGTTTGTGGAAATGTTGTTTTGTAAACAAAATTTTGACACATTTATATTTTCAATCCTCATGTTTAATTTTTTCAGAAATTGACACTTTCAATCAAAACACTGTGTATATACAAAAGGTTAAGATAGTCCGTGTGACTTACAGAGCCTAATTCTTGTTGAGCCTGCAACTTCTGTCATAGGGATAGTGATTATACGGCGCTGGCGTTAACTAACTACTTAAAAGCTTTATATTTTAGAAGGTAGAAGACATGGATGCTTCATGTACAATGTATATAGATGCCTTATGTTATGAAGTTTCTGTCTGTCATATGTCCATTGGCCTTGACCTCATTTTCATGGTTCAGTGATTACTTGAAAAAAAAAGTTAAGATTTTTTGTAATGTTAATTTCTCTCTTATTATGAGTAATAAGATAACTATATTTAGTATGTGAGTAACTTGCAAGGTCCTCGTGCCTGTCAGACAGTTTTAATCTGACCTCGACCTCATTTCATTGATCAGTGAACGAGGTTAAGTTTTTGTGTTCAAGTCCATATCTCGGATACTAGAAGCAATAGGTCTGCTATATTTGGTGTATGGAATGATTGTAAGGTGTACATTTCCAACTGGCAGGTGTCATCTGACCATCTGACCTTGACCTCATTTTCATGGTTCAGCGGTTAAAGTTAAGTTTTTGTGTTTTGGTCTTTTTTATGCCCACTAAACACAGATCAAATTTGAATTTTGGTTGCATCACTTTTACCGTTCTAGAGTTATGCCCCTTTACAAATGGAAAAATTGCTGAATTTTTCGTTTCCATTCTCAAACTTTAGTTGGCCTCAAACAAATGTTATGAAACTTATGTGCAATGCTTATTACAACAAAACACAGAACTAGTTTGAATTTTGGTAGCCTCTCTTATACCTTTCTAGAGTTATGTCCCTTTACAAATGGAAAAATTGCTGAAATTTTTGTTTCCGTTCTCAAACTTTAGTTGGCCTCAAACAAATGTTATGAAACTTATGTGCAATGCTTATTACCACAAAACACTGATCAAGTTTGAATTTTGGTGGCCTCACTTTTACAGTTCTAGAGTTATGCCCCTTTTACAAATGGAAAAAATTGGTGTATCCTCGTTTTTACTCTCAAACTTCAGTTTGCCTCTACCAAATGTTATGAAAATTATACACAATGCTTATTACCTTAAAACTCAGATCAAGTACAAATTTGGGTAGTGTCACTTTTACTGTTCTTGAGTTATGTCCCTTTATAAGGTTATTTGCAAGTGGGGGCATTATCTGTGTCCCATGGACACATTCCCAATTTATTTTCTAATACTATATGCAATAGGTCAACTTTGTTTGGTGTATGGAAATATTTCATGATGTACATGTCAGTCTGGCAGGTTTTATTTGAAATTGACCTCATTTTCATGGTTCATTGCTCAGTATTAAGTTTTTTATGTTTTAGTCTGTTTTTCTTTAACTATAAGAATTAGGTCAACTATATTTGGTGTATGGAATGATTGTAAGGTGTATATGTCTGTCTGGCAGGTATCATCTGACCTTGACCTCATTTTCATGGTTCATTGGTCAATGTTAAGTTTTCATGGTTTAGTTTGTTTCTTGGATACTATAAGTAACATGTCAACTATATTTAATGCATAGATTGATTGTAAGGTGTACATGTCTGTCTGGCATGGTTTATCTGACCTTGACCTCATTTTCATGGTTCATTGGTTACGTTTTCCTGGTTAAGTTCGTTTCTAAGAAACTATAAGCAATAGGTCAACTATATTTGGTGTATGGAATGATTGTAAGGTGTACATGTATTCGGGTTTGGTTTATCTGAGGTTGACCTCATTTTCTTGGATCATGTTAAGTTTATTTGATACTTTTAGTAAAGCTTTATATTTAGGACTATCAACATAAAATCAATGGTCAGTAAAGCAGACGAGACATTTCAGCATGTGCACTCTTGTTAAAGAAGGGATCATCATAGTGAAAAAAACACCCAAAAATATACATTGAATATTCAAATAGTGCACCTCATTCTAGATCAGTTTAAACAAAGCCACCTTTATTAAGTAAGTGTTCACATTTATGCCACAATATTTGTTGTTCATTTCAGTTACTAAGTTCAATTTTGTATCTGGATATATTTTCCTTGAAACTTGAAAAACATCCATATTTTTTTTTTTTGGTTTATCAAACTGACTTTATAGTATTAATCCACAGCTTTGACAAGATGATTAAAAAAGAAGTATTTGTTCATTTCAGGTTTATATTATAATGTTGAATCTTTTCTGATTTGTTGTGGTATTGCTATACTGGTGGCTAATACAGCAGCATCATTTGGTATGTACATAAGTATAAAAAGGTCAAGTTATATAAAAGGATTTACTTTCTTATAAACAATTCTTAGTAAATAAACATATTGAGTACTGGAATAAACTGATAGTAACCATCCAGTTATTGGCCTTAATATAATATATGATCTCAATGTTCAAAAAGGCTGGATCTGACTATTTTCCACCCACCATTTTGCCAGGTAAGTGTATAGAGATAAGAAACCTATCCATCTTACTGTTTATCCCATTCATAAACCATAAGGATACAAGTCAAATTTAAGACAATTGTCTTTTTACTAGGAAGGTTTTTTGAGCTTCTCATACCATAATTAGTGTTTCTGTCACATCAACAATGTATGAAATGGTTTACCCACAAATGTTCTTCTTCTTTATGAATGAGATCAAAAAGTATATCTGTTAGAAAAAAATTGTATAGTTGGTTGATTTATATAAAATTGGCCTTATATTTTAATATATTTGTATAGATAAACTATTATTACCATAGGCCAAATTTAACAATTACCAGACATTTTTATCAGTATCAGCCTTGGTTATAAGTATCAGCCTTGGTTATCAGTATCAGCCTTAGTTATCAGTATCAGCCTTGGTTATCAGTATCAGCCTTGGTTATCAGTATCAGCCTTGGTTCTCAGTGTCAGCTTTGGTTATCAGTATCAGCCTTGGTTATAAGTATCAGCCTTGGTTATCAGTATCAGCCTTGGTTATCAGTATCAGCCTTGGTTCTCAGAGTCAGCCTTGGTTATCAGTATGAGCCTTGGTTATCAGTGTCAGCCTTGGTTCTCAGTGTCAGCCTTGGTTATCAGTATCAGCCTTGGTTATCAGTATCAGCCTTGGTTATCAGTGTCAGCCTTGGTTATCAGTGTCAGCCTTGGTTATCAGTGTCAGCCTTGGTTATCAGAATCAGCCTCGGTTATATGTATGAGCCTTGGTTATCAGTGTCAGCCTTGGTTATTGGTGTCAGCCTTGGTTATCAGTATCAGCCTTGGTTATCAGTGTGAGCCTTGGCTATCAGTGTCAGCCTTGGTTATCATTGTCAGCCTTGGTTATCAGTGTCAGCCTTGGTTATCATTGTCAGCCTTGGTTGTCAGTGTCAGCCTTGGTTATCAGTATCAGCCTTGGTTATCAGTATGAGCCTTGGTTATCAGTGTCAGCCTTGGTTATCAGTGTCAGCCTTGGTTAATGTGTCAGCCTTGGTTAATGTGTCAGCCTTGGTTATCAGTATCAGCCTCGGTTATCAGTATGAGCCTTGGTTATCAGTGTCAGCCTTGGCTATCAGTGTCAGCCTTGGCTATCAGTGTCAGCCTTGGTTATCAGTGTCAGCCTTGGTTATCATTGTCAGCCTTGGTTGTCAGTGTCAGCCTTAGTTATCAGTATCAGCCTTGGTTATCAGTATGAGCCTTGGTTATCAGTGTCAGCCTTGGTTATCAGTGTCAGCCTTGGTTAATGTGTCAGCCTTGGTTATCAGTATCAGCCTCGGTTATCAGTATGAGCCTTGGTTATCTGTGTCAGCCTTGGCTATCAGTGTCAGCCTTGGCTATCAGTGTCAGCCTTTGTTATCATTGTCAGCCTTGGTTATCAGTGTCAGCCTTGGTTATCAGTGTCAGCCTTGGTTATTGGTGTCAGCCTTGGCTATCAGTGTCAGCCTTGGTTATCATTGTCAGCCTTGGTTATAAGTATCAGCCTTGGTTAACGGTATCAGCCTTGGTTATCGGTGTCAGCCTTGGTTATCAGTATCAGCCTTGGTTATCAGTGTTAGCCTTGGTTTTTCGGTGTCAGCCTTGGTTATCGGTATCAGCCTTGGTTATCAGTATCAGCCTTGGTTATCAGTATCAGCCTTGGTTATCAGTGTCAGCCTTGGTTATCAGTATCAGCCTTGGTTATCAGTATCAGCCTTTGTTATCAGTATCAGCCTTGGTTATCGCCTTGGTTATCAGTATCAGCCTTGGTTATCAGTGTCAGCCTTTGTTATCAGTATCAGCCTTGGTTATCAGTATCAGCCTTTGTTATCAGTATCAGCCTTGGTTATCAGTATCAGCCTTGGTATAGGCACATTTCTGTTATCTACTTGATATAAAATTTACATGTTAGGTTTTGCATCAGTTTCTTATTTGTTCCTGTATTTGTAGCTAGTATCTCTTTTGTATATATATATCTTTACAATAGATAATTCAGCTGATCTGTAACAATTCCATCTTCATGCCTTATATATCATGTTCTGTGTTACGACGCTAGATAAAAATTGACGAGGAAAGGTAACACCCGGCCACCGAAAGCTTTATTTTTAGAGCCTAGGTAGTCAAAAGGTCTAGCGTGTCGGGCACAGTGCAAGGCGATTTGGTGCCACGATATCTCAGTAGCATGAGTTGGAATCCCGGCCAGGGAAGAACAAAAAATTTGCTAACGCAAATTTACAGATCTAACATTGTTGGGCTGTTGTTTAGACGAATTATATATACAGAATGTATTTTCAGCCTTGTATCACCATCACTGCTGGTGATCCGATGGATAAAATCTGTTGTAGAGTCGTCACTGGTTCAGACGTACTTATAACATAATTATTTCTGTGACTGCATATTATATTAATTTGTAGGATCCTTTACAATAGATAATTCAGCTGATCTGTAACAATTCCATCTTCATGCCTTATATATCATGTACTGTGTTACGACGCTAGATAAAAACTGACGAGGAAAGGTAACACCCGGCCATCAAAAGCTTTATTTTTTAGAGCCTAGGTGGTCGAGTGGTCTAGCGCGTTGGGCACAGTGCAAGGCGATTTGGTGCCACGATATCTCAGTAGCATGAGTTCGAATCCCTGCCAGGGAAGAACAAAAAAATTTCTAACGCAAATTTACAGATCTAACATTGTTGGGCTGTTGTTTAGACGAATTATATATATATACACATTTGTAGGAATGATTATATCAACACTGTCCAGTTCAGCAAACATGGCATTAGCAGTAGCACCACCATTATTGATACCATTGATGTTGTTCGGTGGGTTTTTTGTACAAAATGAGTAAGTCAGAAAATTCCTTTACTATTGTATAAGTCTTAAATGCATTGGGTGATTTGTATGTATATCTGTCTGTCCACAAACCATTTCTCTTTTATCATAGCTCCTTGATATAATGTTCCAAGATTCATGTTATTATTTGATACCATGTGACATGTGTGCAGTTCCTTCCAAGGTCTACTTTGGTTGGCTGATAACTTGCATTTTTAAAATATTGAAATGATTTTTATATGCAAATGTTATGGTGATGCCAGCAAATGTTATCCACTGGTACAGTTATAAATTCTCGGGATGTTTATTTAAGAGATCTCCGTGTACCTACACTGCATTTGTATTTTATGTACATATTTTCATGAAAATATACCTAATGCAAAATACGTGAAAATAAATACACTGCGAAAAATGTACATATATACTACTTTGGATGAAATGTTTCTCCTGGTTTCTGTAAAATTATGTCTGTTTGTACCTTATTTTCAGTACCATTCCAGACTGGTTACTTTGGTTGAAGTATTTGTCCTGGTTCCAATACAGTAATGAAGTTCTATCAATAAATCAGTGGAGCGATATAGATCATATAGGTATAATATTTTTATATATATGCTGATTGAAATATTTTAATTATGCGTATAAGGAAACCTGTCAGTTTTTCATGTTCCTCAGGAAATTTAAGTATGACTATTGGAGTACCTATCTGGCTTTATACATGTGGTGCGATGGCATTGTGATGCAATTTTTTTTTATATCATAAAATACAAATGCAGTTTTTACTTTGCTTTCAATGTGATTAACACATGGTCAGAGTCAGAGATGCGTAGCAAAATTGCAACATTTATTACAACTCGCTTGCAACAACCAGTGATTGCCCCAACAAAGATTTTTTTTCTAGCTATGAGAGGAATTGCTGTGACAAGTTACTGATATCACCAGTGACATTGCAAACTCATTGCATCACTGTCACACCTGGGATATAAACCAACCTTAGTAATTATTCTTCTGATAGCTGGACAAGATTTTTATTTTGTGATTTACTTTTATCAGATATGGTGTAGATAGGAAAAGGGGGAGGTTTAAGCACATGCAAATCTAGTTTAAACCCACCACAATGTGTGCTTGTACCCAGTTAGGCTATCTAGTTATATATCTCTTTTCTCTTTTCTGAGGAGTCAGTTTTGTTGTATGATATGTTTGACTGTCTAATTTTGTTGGTAGGTTCTGTTGTCTTTATGTTTTATTTTTAGACATGCATGCACTTAGTTAGGTGAGCAGAGTATTTTTGAGATGAGCATATGTCAAAGTATGAAAGGGGGATGGTGGACTCAAAAAAGAACAAAACTGTGAAATGGAAAAAAAGCTTTTGGTGTATGACAGTCATTTATGTTTACAACCAAGTTCAGATCTTAGAAAATAAGTGACCTAATAATGTTGTTCATTCTGATGAAAGACAATTCTTATAGGTCAAATATATTTTTCAAAATCAAAGTGATTATTCGAACCAAATTTGTCTCTTCATTTTGACATCTTTGATATACTTCTAGTTAACACACATTATTATACCTCAGTATATTTTTTTTCTGAATAAAAAAGAAGAAATAGTTGTGCTATAACAGACTATTTGCTGGTCTATAGTTTGACTATTGTTGATGCTAGGACTTTTTCATATTATAAGGTAAAACACTGAAATGTCAAAAACAGGAAATCAACCTATACGTTATAATCAGATAAAACAAGAAATCAATCTATACGTTATAATCAGATAAAACAGGAAATCAATCTATACGTTATAATCAGATAAAACAAGAAATCAATCTATACGTTATAATCAGATAAAACAAGAAATCAATCTATACGTTATAATTCGATAAAACAGGAAATCAATCTATACGTTATAATCAGATATAACAGGAAATCAATCTATACGTTATAATCAGATAAAACAGGAAATCAACCTATACTTTATAATCAGATAAAACAGGAAATCAATCTATACGTTATAATCAGATAAAACAGGAAATCAACCTTTACGTTATAATCAGATAAAACAAGAAATCAATCTATACGTTATAATCAGATAAAACAGGAAATCAACCTATACGTTATAATCAGATAAAACAGGAAATCAATCTGTACGTTATAATCAGATAAAACAGGAAATCAACCTATACGTTATAACCAGATAAAACAGGATATCAACCTGTACGTTATAATCAGATAAAACAGGAAATCAACCTATACCTTATAATCAGATAAAACAGGATATCAACCTGTACGTTATAATCAGATAAAACAGGAAATCAATCTAAACGTTATAATCAGATAAAACAGGAAATCAATCTATACATTATAATCAGATAAAACAGGAAATCAATCTATATGTTATAATCAGATAAAACAGGAAATCAACCTATACGTTATAATCAGATAAAACAGGAAATCAACCTGTACGTTATAATCAGATAAAACAGGAAATCAATCTAAACGTTATAATCAGATAAAACAGGAAATCAATCTATACGTTATAATCAGATAAAACAGGAAATCAATCTATACGTAATAATCAGATAAAACAGGAAATCAATCTTTACGTTATACTCAGATAAAACAGGAAATCAATCTATACGTTATAATCAGATAAAACAGGAAATCAACCTATACGTTATAATCAGATAAAACGTTATTTGTAATCAGATAAAACAGGAAATTAATCTATACGTTATAATCAGATAAAAAAGGAAATCAACCTTTACATTATAATCAGATAAAACAGGAAATCAATTTATACGTTATAATCAGATAAAACAGGAAATCAACCTATACGTTATAATCAGATAAAACAGGAAATCAATCTATACGTTATAATCAGATAAAACAGGAAATCAATCTATACGTTATAATCAGATAAAACAGGAAATCAATCTGTACGTTATAATCAGATAAAACAGGAAATCAATCTATACGTTATAATCAGATAAAACAGGAAATCAACCTATACGTTATAATCAGATAAAACAGGATATCAACCTGTATGTTATAATCAGATAAAACAGGAAATCAATCTATACGTTATAATCAGATAAAACAGGAAATCAACCTATACGTTATAATCAGATAAAACAGGATATCAACCTGTACGTTATAATCAGATAAAACAGGAAATCAATCTAAACGTTATAATCAGATAAAACAGGAAATCAGTCTATACGTTATAATCAGATAAAACAGGAAATCAATCTATATGTTATAATCAGATAAAACAGGAAATCAATCTTTACGTTATACTCAGATAAAACAGGAAATCAATCTATACGTTATAATCAGATAAAACAGGAAATCAACCTATACGTTATAATCAGATAAAACGTTATTTGTAATCAGATAAAACAGGAAATTAATCTATACGTTATAATCAGATAAAACAGGAAATCAACCTTTACATTATAATCAGATAAAACAGGAAATCAATTTATACGTTATAATCAGATAAAACAGGAAATCAACCTATACGTTATAATCAGATAAAACAGGAAATCAATCTATACGTTATAATCAGATAAAACAGGAAATCAATCTATACGTTATAATCAGATAAAACAGGAAATCAATCTATACGTTATAATCAGATAAAACAGGATATCAACCTATACTTTATAATCAGATAAAACAGGAAATCAATCTATACGTTATAATCAGATAAAACGTTATTTGTAATCAGATAAAACAGGAAATCAATCTATACGTTATAATCAGATAAAACAGGAAATCAATCTATACGTTTTAATCAGATAAAATAGGATATCAACCTATACGTTATAATCAGATAAAACAGGAAATCAATCTATACGTTATAATCAGATAAAACAGGAAATCAATCTATACGTTATAATCGGATAAAACAGGAAATCAACCTATACGTTATAATCAGATAAAACAGGAAATCAATCTATACGTTATAATCAGATAAAATAGGATATCAACCTATACGTTATAATCAGATAAAACAGGAAATCAATCTATACGTTATAATCAGATAAAACAGGAAATCAATCTATATGTTATAATCAGATAAAACAGGAAATCAATCTATACGTTATAATCAGATAAAACAGGAAATCAACCTATTCGTTATAATCAGATAAAACAGGAAATCAATCTATACGTTATAATCAGATAAAACAGGAAATCAATCTATACGTTATAATCAGATAAAATAGGATATCAACCTATACGTTATAATCAGATAAAACAGGAAATCAATCTATACGTTATAATCAGATAAAACAGGAAATCAATCTATATGTTATAATCAGATAAAACAGGAAATCAATCTATACGTTATAATCAGATAAAATAGGATATCAACCTATACGTTATAATCAGATAAAACAGGAAATCAATCTATACGTTATAATCAGATAAAACAGGAAATCAATCTATATGTTATAATCAGATAAAACAGGAAATCAATCTATACGTTATAATCAGATAAAACAGGAAATCAACCTATTCGTTATAATCAGATAAAACAGGAAATCAATCTATACGTTATAATCAGATAAAACAGGAAATCAATCTATACGTTATAATCAGATAAATAGGACTCAGCAGAGTGAGTGGTGTCATCATAATCTAACGCTGTTTCAAATTGATTAATTACCAGGAGTATTGTTTAAAAAAAAAAAATATGTGAAAGATGACATATTTGGAGACTTACAATATAACAAATGTATAGTATGATGGGGTCTGTTGTCAGTCTAATATTTTGAACAAGTTTAATGCACTTTGATGCTAATTCAAGGAAGGATTATTTTGTGACATCACTCGTAGGACCTGTTGTTGTTCCATATACAATACCTCTTGTTTCACCTGAAGTTGATACCCTCAGTTCTGCTAGCTGAGGCTCCAGTGAAATTAGATTTTTTTTATGAGTCCCTCATGATAGTAAAGGGTGATTTTTCCATTTGCAGAATGTAAAAATGTTACTGTGGCAGTGAACTCAACTGTAGGCAATCCTTCACGGTGCTTTACTTCAGGAAGTCAAGTTATAGAGTCTCTTAGCTTTGATGAGGTTTGTAACCCTTTATTGTTACAGTGAAACTTTAGATAAGACTTATACCATTCAAATAATATCAATGTGTCATATGTATAGTATTCAGCAGCCTTTTCTCACAAGTTTTCTCAGTTTGATGTTAAGAAACACATATAAAACTTCTTAAATAGCCAATAGTATCAAGGTATAGCCAGAGTTTATCAACTACATGATTTTTTCACTTTGTATATTCATTTTCACCAATCTGGAGGATGATGTATGTTAGAATTCACAATCATAGGTTCTGAAATAGGTTTTAAAAAAGGTAAACATCTGTGACATTCTCAATAGGAATTTCATACAAATTAAAAGGAAAGAAAGGACATGTATATACCACCAATTCTAGAAGAAGTGTAAATGAATTAAACAGATTATCAAAAATCTTATTGACATGGACACCAAAGTTCTGAAATGACATATGTCTTGATAATTTAGCATTAAACTTTTAATCGTGATGTTTTCAAATAAAGGTAACATCATACGCAGCATTTATCTTCAGATTGTGCAAAGGATCCAAGTGAGCTTTTCTCATTACTTGGCAGGCGGAAACCCAGTTGAAATAGAACAAAAGAATCGAAGCTCTTTGTTAGAGAAGGCGATAAATGCTTACTGTAATGTTTACTATAGTAACAACATTTTTAAAAGTTAATAGAAACAAATAAAATTACAGTTTTCGGCTAAATTACGAAGTATTTTGTCATAAAAACTCAATTTGCATAAGTTTTCAATTTATCTATTACATAATTAAGCAGAACAGTTAGATATCAAGTCGACGACATGGGTGTCTATTCAGTTGGATCTAAAAAATGCATAACCTCTGATTTTTATTTTTTTTTTACCACGGACGGAGAACATATCAATCTATTTGTTCCTTAATTTTCGTTTCTGCCCTTCCATTATGTAACTCAAGAAAAAATTCAAAATAATGGGTAACAGTTGCATCGAAAAGATAAAATCGAGAGCACCTTTTTATGTTAGGGCGTGTTTGAGTTAAATATTTTGTCTTGAAAACGTATAAAGCAAGAGTATTTGATACATCAGCTCGCTTCAGATTCTATTATTTTTATATATCAAGGCTACAGGTTGACTTTATAACATCGAAAGTTCACAGTACTAAAAAATTAAGTATATGGGTCAAGTGAAATACCTTTCTAATGAATCACAAAAACAGAGTAGATGTGTTCGAATAGCAAATTTTTACTAAAAGTACTTGACGACTGACTTTTAAGTTGGATCTTAAAAATGCATATCTTCGAAAAAACTTAATTTTTTGTGTGTGATAATTAGGGTGTATAGTCTTCAACCACTGAAAATTTTTAGTCTGCCCTTCCACGAAATATTTAATTAGAATTTTTTTTAAATGTTTATGAATTTCCCAAAATTCCACCTGACAACCGATCCGACAATAGTTTTAAGTTGACTGAATGCAGACAAGTTCATTAACTGATGCTCATTAGCTAGTAGATCATTTGTCTTTTGAAATACACCTGGCATAGAAGGATCGTAATGGTGCTATGTGGATAAATTTATCGGTTTTCAGAGCTAAATTGGAAGCGCGTCATCCCTACAATGGCTTCCATTTTTACGATTGTAAAAATGAACTGGCGTAATGGGGAGATAATTTTGACGAAGTAGAATCCTGACTGTTGGCATCTGTTGTTGTCATCGTCGACTTTTGCAAAAATCTTCTCCTCTGAAACTACTGCAGTACTGGGTCAAATATAACCAAACTTGGCCACAATCAACATTGGGGTATCTAGTTTAAAATATGTGTATGATGGCCCTTCCTGCCAACCAATATGGTCGACGTGGCTAAAAATAGAACTGTCAGACGACTTCTTATTGGAGTTATTGCCCTTAAGTGACAAATTTTACCATTTTTTAGCTCACCGGGGCCCAAAGGGCCACATGTGAGCTTATGCCATCACTTGGCGTCCGTCGTCGTCTGTTGTCTGTCGTCTTAAACTATTTGAAAAATCTTCTCCTCTGAAACTACTGGGCCAAATACCTTCAAACTTTAACTAAATGTTCCTCAGGGTGTCTAGTTTATAAACTGTATCCGAAGTTTTGATCCATCGACAAACATGGCCACCATGGCTAAAAATAGAACATAGAGGTCAAATGCAGTTTTTGGCTTATATCTCAAAAACTAAAGCTTTTAGAGCAAATCTGACATAGGGTAAAATTGTTCAATTGGTCAAGATCTATCAGCTCTGAAATTTTCAGACGAATCGAACAACCCGTTGTTGGGTTGCTGCCATCGAATTGGTAGTTTTAACAAAATTTTGCAGTTTTTATACGACCGCAAAAAATTTTTGTGGTCGTATATTGGTATGACGTTGGCGTCGTCGTCGTCCGAAGACACATTGGTTTTCGCACTCTAACTTTAGTTTAAGTGAATGGATCTCTTTGAAATTTTACCATAAGGTTCAATACCACAAAAGAAAGGTGGGGATTGATTTTGGGGGTTATGGTACCAACAGTTAAGGAATTAGGGGCCAAAAAGGGGCCAAAAATAAGCATTTTCTAGTTTCCAGACAATAACTGTGGAACGGTGTATGGATCACTCTGAAATTATACTACAAGTTTCCATACCACAAAGGGATGGTTAGGATTTGCTTTGGGGGGTTGTGGCTCAAACCGTTTAGGAATTAGGGGCAAAAAAGGGGGAAAAACAAGGTTGTCCTGGTTAATGGACAAATACTTTAGTACAAAACATAATTTAAAGCAGTGTAAGGGAGATAAATCAAATACATCATTGAAATTATCTCCCTTACACTGCTTTTAAATTATGTATAAAGCAATGGTTAATGAACAATTAAGATAATTTAAAACAGTGTAAGGGAGGTGATCCAAATACAACGTTTTGGTTACTTCCCTTACACTGATTTTAAATTATGTTTAAAGAAATGCATATTTATAAAGGAAGACCAGTAAAAATATCTGCAAATATTGCATCTTTTTTTTTTACAAAAAAATCCATATGAAAGATTTGACACTACATTTTAAATTCTATTATAAAATAGATTAAGTTAGCACTATGGTAAATTTAAATGGGTAATTATGGTTGCAAACTCCATTGGAAATTTGAATTGAGATTATGACCATATCTTGAGGGAAAGAATTTTTTGGGGGAAAAAAAGGGGGGGGGGTACAAAGAAATTGTGGGGGGTCAATTTTTTCTCATTTCAGATTTCAGAAATTAAAAAGAATTATTCTTCAAATATTATTTTTTTTTCAAATTTCAAATATTGAAAAATTTCAAGAAGTAATCTTTAATTGCACAGTATGGCGCATTAGATTTGTAAAATCTTTGACCACATTTATTTATTTGTTATGCCGAATCTAACCGTGTATTTAGATTTTTAATTTTGGGTCCAGTTTTCAAATTGGTCTACATTAAGGTCCAAAGGGTCCAAAATTAAACTTTGTTTGATTTCATCAAAAATTGAATTATTGGGGTTCTTTGATATGCCAAATCTAACCATGTATTTAGATTTTTAATTTTGGGTCCTGTTTTTTAAAATCTAAACCTTAATGATTAAGGTCCAAAGGGTCCAAAATTAGACTTAGTTTGATTTTAACAAAAATTGAATTCTTGGGGTTCTTTGATATGCTGAATCTAAACATGTGTTTAGATTTTTGATTATGGGCCCAGTTTTCAAGTTGGTCCAAGTTGGGGTCCAAAATTAAACTTTGTTTGATTTCAACAAAAATTGAATATAGGCGTTCTTTGATATGCTGAATCTAAACATGTATTTAGATTTTAGATTTTTGGCCCAGTTTTCAAGTTGGTCCAAATTGGGGTCCAAAATTAAACTTTGTTTGATTTCAACAAAAATTGAATATATGGGGTTCTTTGATATGCTGAATTTAACCATGTATTTAGATTTTTTATTTGTGGGCCCGCTATCAAATTGGTTCATATTGAGGTCAAAAGGGTCCAAAATTAAACTTTGTTTGATTTCATCAAAAATTGAATTATTGGGGTTCTTTGATATGCCAAATCTAACCGTGTTTTTAGATTTATAATTTTGGGTCCTGTTTTTTAAATTGGTCTACATTAAGGTCCAAAGGGTCCAAAATTAAACTTAGTTTGATTTTAACAAAAATTGAATTCTTGGGGTTCTTTGATATGCTGAATCTAAACATGTGTTTACATTTTTGATTATGGGCCCAGTTTTCAAGTTGGTCCAAGTTGGGGTCCAAAATTAAACTTTTTTTGATTTCAACAAAAATTGAATATATGGGGTTCTTTGATATGCTGAATCTAACCATGTATTTAGATTTTTTATTTGTGGGCCCCGCTATCAAATTGGTTCATATTGAGGTCAAAAGGGTCCAAAATTAAACTTTGCTTGATTTCATCTAAAATTGAATTATTGGGGTTCTTTGATATTCCAAATTTAACCGTGTATTTAGATTTTTAATTTTGGGTCCTGTTTTTTAAATTGGTCTACATTAAGGTCCAAAGGGTCCAAAATTAAACTTAGTTTGATTTTAACAAAAATTGAATTCTTGGGGTTCTTTGATATGCTGCATCTAAACATGTGTTTAGATTTTTGATTATGGGCCCAGTTTTCAAGTTGGTCCAAGTTGAGGTCCAAAATTAAACTTTGTTTGATTTCAACAAAAATTGAATATATTGGGTTCTTTGATATGCTGAATCTAACCATGTATTTTGATTTTGGACATTGGACCATAATAGGTAAATTAAAAAATTCAAGTTCTTAGACCACATTCTTTCTGTGTCAGAAACCTATGCTGTGTCAAATATTTAATCACAATCCAAATTCAGAGCTGTATCAAGCTTGAATGTTGTGTCCATACTTGCCCCAACTGTTCAGGGTTCGACCTCTGCGGTCGTATCAAGCTGCGCCCAGCGAAGCATTTTATTTGTTATTATTTTGAATATTATTATAGATATGTATAAACTGTAAGCAGCAATAATGTTCAGCAAAGTAAGATCTACAAAAAAGTTAATATGACCATAATTGTCAATTGACCCCTTAAGGAGTTATTGCCCTTTAAAGACAATTTTACGCAATTTGTTCATCAAGTTTGCTAACATTTAAAAATCTTCTCCTCTGAAATACAGGTGAGCGATTCAGGCTCTTTAGAGCCTCTTGTTTTTATTTTTGCCTATTATCTTGAAAACTATAATAGATAGAGAGAAACTTTAAATTAAAAAAATGATCAGCAAGACAAGTTCTACAAACTAGTCTAACATGGTTGAAATCGTCAGTCGACTCCTTATTTGAGTTATTGCCCTCTGATGAAGATTTTTACCAATTTTTTGCATTTTTGCCTTATATCTTAAAAATTATAATAGATAGATGGAAATTTAAATAAGTAAAAATGATCAGCAAGACAAGAACTACAGTTAAGACAACATGAAAGAAATTGTCCGACGACTCCTTATTGGAGTTATTGCCCTTTAATGATTTTTTTTTGTGTTTTGCCTTATATGATAAAAATTATAATAGATAAATAGACACTATAAATCACAATAAATGATCAGCAAGGCAAGATATACTAAAAAGTCAAATTTTGCCGATATATTTAGTAGACTGTCGCTCTTCATAGGAGTGATTGCCCTTAAATGAGAATTTTTTTTACACACTTTTGTGTTTTGAGCAAAAACTAAAGAAGACAGAGAGAAACTAAACAGACTAAATGATCAGCAATACAAGATCAACAAAACAAGAGATTTTTGCCTTGAATTCTATTCTCGTCTACAATGTTGGAGAGAGTCCTTTGTTGAATATGCATATAGACCAAGGTGAGCGACACAGGCTCTAATTTAGTTTTCCTGCATGTGACATGTATGTCCCTATTTAGCACCCTGCATCAAGTATGTGAGAGCCCTACACTTTTCACTTTGTCTGTCCGTCTGTCCACAATTTTTTGTAGACAAAATAAAACTCTAAAATTATAATTAGAAGGCCAATGACATTTTGCACAGTTGATGTGCATAATATGTAGATGTGCATATTATAGTTGGTGAAATTTGTCTCATTCAATTACAATTGCTTTGTTTGTGTAAAAAATCACAAATTTTTGTCTTTTGTAAACGCAAAATCTCCGAAAGTGTAGGGAGGAGGCCAATGAATTTTGCACTGTTGTTGTGCATTATATGTAGAACAAAACATATATGAATCGAGAACACATCCTGAATTTATTGCTGGTGTCAAAACTTATGAAAATTGACAATTTATGAACAATTGCTTTGTTTGCATCAGTCTCTTTGTCTCACATTAAAATGTGCAAGCGGGGCCCTTGCTGACATGTCAGTTTTCTAGTTTGATCTGATGACAAGAAACATGTAGGCACAGTCAGAGTGTTTATTATCCCATCAACTTGCGCAAGCAACACAATTAAATATGAGGCTTCCCCATAACATGACCTTATAGTTTGGTATTACCTTCGACAGAATGGAGTCTGACATCCTTCCAGAATTTTCAAACATATACACTCTGTTATCATGTTCATAGTGCCTTAGCACTCGTCAGAAAATAATATTCTCATTCAATCTGGGTAAACAGTCCATCTTTTTTCCTCTTCACAAGACAACAAAGGTTTTTCCTGTTGACTTTGCTTATAACAACTTCCTGTCACATACACATCCATTAAAACCATGAGCAAGAAATGCAACAGACAATCATCTCTAACTGAGCACTCACATATTTGGGATGACACCTTATTTTATTTTTTGACTGAAATGTGTAACAAAAAACCTGGAAATAGTTGACTTGAGTCTACCCAACCAACTATCCTCACCCCTCCCCTGTTTTGCTACATTGTTAAGTCCAAGATTCTTTTGTATAACTGTTGTTATGTCTGGTCTCAGATTTGACCTTGAAGAGTGCAACCTTTTTTTTTATCAAAACAAAGCATTTTAGATGCAAATGATGCCACAAGTCACTATAGAAATGTCATGTGACATCATATTAAACATAAATTAGTTTTATAACTTTGTTTATTTTGCATAAAAATATATCCTACTGTGACTTAATTGTTTTGACAGTTTTCATGTGACCCCACATTGATGAATACTTTTTGAATGACTATATATTAAGCTTATAAGAACAAAAAGCTCTGACAAGTGAGTTCCTTTGTAAAGGGGAATGAAAAAAAAAATCAGCTTATAGTAATATTTTGTATTTACAGGACAACTGGTATTTAGACTTTGGACTGATTTCAGCATTGTTTGTTGGATTTAGGATTGTTTCCTTCATCATTCTAGTTATACGAGCCAAAAGATCTAGTGCTTAAGTATGAAAAGAATTCCTGTTTGAGATGGTTGTGTGCCAATGTAAGAAATGAATTATCGGATTAGAGAAAAGTTCCTGAAATTAAGAATTTATATACTGGGACAGTACATTTTCAAAGATTGTGTGGTTCATCAGTACCTTAAATTCTAATATCCAACATGATGCATATATTTCATTGATTTGATATATGTGAAGTCTGAGACAATAGTTTGGAAAACCTTGCTTTGTAATGATTGTTCCACAATCTCATAAAGAAATTACCTTTACAATATTTCTATGATATAAAGAATTTAAAAATGATATCGAGAAAATGCCATTCTTACCTTGTTTACAGTTGAATGTGTTACTTAGATAACACTTTCTGTAAGTGATTTATACTCATATTAGATTTTATAAGATAACACTTTCTGTAAGTGATATATACTCATATTAGATTTTATTTCTACTATTTACCTTGAAATGAATAGGTCAGTTTTATTGAGATGAGACCACTAGACAGCATGGTTTACTATTTACTTCTATAAGTCATATTTAACAGTTATTGTTTTAATTTAAAAGTTTTTAGAAATTGAATACATTTTATTTGTTGATGTTGGCTGTCATCTTTTGTATGTGATGTTTACATGACTGACACATGTTTGATTTTATGAAAATCATTACATTTTTTAATCTTGGTATTTTTCTGTACTGTTTAATAAATTGTACAATATTTTGTTCATATTATATTCATGGTTTTTATTATTTCTTTGTAATACTCAAGTTAATGTTAACATTTCAAATGTAAAATTTGTGGTTGTGATTATTTACGAAGTTTTTTATTTTTATTTCAAGTTTGTCTTTGTCGTATCAGCATGTCAATTGGTTGTCTTTGTTGTATCAACATGTCAATTAGTTGTCTTTGTTGTATCAGCATGTCAATTGGTTCTCTTTGTTGTATCAGCATGTCAATTGGTTGTCTTTGTTGTATCATCATGTCAATTGGTTGTCTTTGTTGTATCAGCATGTCAATTAGTTGTCTTTGTTGTATCAGCATGTCAATTGGTCGTCTTTGTTGTATCAGCATGTCAATTGGTCATCTTTGTTGTATCAGCATGTCAATTCGTTGTCTTTGTTGTATCAGCATGTCAATTGGTCGTCTTTGTTGTATCATCATGTCAATTGGTTGTCTTTGTTGTATCAGCATGTCAATTGGTTGTCTTTGTTGTATCAGCATGTCAATTGGTTGTCTTTGTTGTATCAGCATGTCAATTGGTTGTCTTTGTTGTATCAGCATGTCAGTTAGTTGTCTTTTATTTGGCATTTTGAATGAATTTTATACAATAATGTAACAAACTATTCTTTGAAAGTTAGTTTATTTAGAGTAATAAGCAGAGGTCATCCAGAAGTGTGTTATATGTACTATTGGATTATCTCCCTTTATACACAGAAATTATCAGTATCATTAGACAAATTACTGTAGCAAGTACATATTCAGCCAGATAATTCAGACGAAATGTGAAACAGATTCATACATCATTATGCCAAGTATAAAATTCATTTAAACACACTACTGTTAGAATATAGAATTAGTTTAATACACAAATATAAAATCAGTCATATGTGTAAGTTACTTTTCCTTATGTATCTTTATATCAAATAATAATATATTTTTTCTGTGTATTATAAAAAGAACACAACTTTCTTGAAAATTGTAAATGAATTTAGTTTAGGGGTTTATATCATCAAAACTCAACCTAGCTGCTTGTACTGAAAATATATCTCAATCATCTTTTCAAAGTATAATTATATAATATATACTTCTACTTTAACCTTGAATGAGTTTAATTCTTATGAAAACCCTTATGTTAAGGAAGGAAGTAGGTAAAAAGGATGGGGCTATCATGTAATAATTTTTTTGTTTGTTTGGATATCATCTTTATTGTTAGTCATAATCCACTCATAATAAAGTTTAAGGTTTACTCTAATCAAAGCCTTGGATGAATTCAATTTTTATTTTGCAAAGATAGAAAAAGAAGAACCATTTTTTGAAGAGGAAAACTCTTGGTGTGGTCTTTTACTTTTCAATATTTTATATGTTTCCTGTTATCTTTTTTATGTGCTATTGTGTAAAATAACATGTACAAGTATGAATGTTATTATTGATGTGATGTGTAAGCTTTGGATACTGATTAAGCTGACAACTATAGAACTCCTGTTCCTAATAAATTGAAAAGTCTATTATATCATTACTTGTACTTTGGTAAATTTATATAATTTCGGTTCAGTTGGAAGAGGCAGATCCTCCATCTCTCCAACAAATATGTATGAAGAGGTTCAAATTGTTTTAAAATGATTTTAATAGGAAAATTGATATTTGCAAACGGCAAATTTCATAGATTAAGACATGAAATTGGATGTCAAGCTTGTCTGGCTACAATCTGGGGTACAATTGACAATATAATTAGCAAATTGCTTCTACCTTTCAATCAAAAGTGTGTCAAAATTATGTTTCGATAGCTGTAAATCATTCAATTAGGAGCAAATTATTGAACTTCCTGTCCAGGTAGAATTTCTAATTTGCCGTTTTTCAGAGGAAAATCTAGCATTTTAGACATTGGAAGTCTTATGACACTAGAAAACGGGTCCTTTGTTGAAATTCCGGGTTATTTGATAACCAGGGCGGGTATTGAAAAATCTAGGGTGAGCTAATACTGGTCATTTGACAAATATGTATAAAGTACACCACTATTGTCAAGTCAGTCTATCATACTCTTTAATTTGTCTTTTTCATTTTCGGTAAAAATAATTAAAGGATTTTCCTTTATTAATTACAAAAAATTATTAGAATTTTGTCTCATTTTCTACAATTTACAACTTCTTGATGTCAAACTTCTGTGTATTTATGTAAAACATTTGGTTACCTGCTGTAATCATAATATTTACTCTTCAAAGTAATGTCAATATTTAAATTCTTCATTAATTTTTACTTTGCATTTATATGTAGTCTACTTGAATTTTTAAAATATTGACTTTTAGTTCAGGAAGATATTGTTGATGCCAAGTTTGACCTAAGAAAATTGTTTTATGGATCATAATTTTTATAAGAATGCATATTTATCTATGATATGATTAATAAGTGATATTACAGTTTAACATAATAATTTTGGTTTTTTAATGTTATAGAAATATTTTATGATTAAAAATTATAATTTTCTTGTTTTTCCTTTAATAAATGTAAGAAACAAGTTAGGAATGTTGAACTGTTAAAATATTTAATTTAACATCACCTTGCAAAAGGGCAAGTGTGAACCATCATTTAGCTTTCTTTCTTTGCAAGTCTTTCTGTCCATCCATTTAAAAGCTGACCTTCATCTGAAACTACTGGGCAAATGGAACAAAACTCACATTTGACCATTGTATGTGAAAACTATGTAAATTGTCCTGGCAATCAATTAAGTGCCTGTTCCATATCAGGAACCTTGTCAATTGTTGTTGTATGTTAATCATATCCTAATCATTGTTGCTAGTTAGACAATTGGGTGTAAATATATATGTTGACAAATATTATGAATACCTACCCATGTTAAAATGAGCAAAGAGCACATGATGAATTATTTTTTTATATAAACATAATATTACATGCTTACATTATTTAAAATAACTATAAGCTAAAACAAACTCCTGGTGAATAATCTTACAAAACTTTTATCCTCATGCACAGTCAGTTTTTTGGAGTAAACCTGTATTCCGTCATTTATACTATGTCTATAAATTACTATGACATGAAAATAAACGCAAACATCTGTATAGAAATGCAGGCAAGTGAACAAACCTATTGAAATATGCACAGTACAAATGTACTACATCTCTTTAGAATGTGAAACGACCTAAGTGATCTTGAGACACCAACCCCGCCTTCAATATTTGAGGTCAAACAATGAATCCTTAGCTTGCTGAAATCAAAGTCTGTAAAGTTGGTAATTGCTTTTTCTCCACCAAGCATACCACAATTATGAGTACGAACAAAGAATCAAATTTATGTGTATGAAGTAGGTAAAAGGTCTTTATTTGACTGTTATCCTGTGAGCTACCATTGATATGGTTCATCTAGAATAAAGCAGTATATATTCATATCTCATTCACATGTTGTTATACTAAATACGCTTGAATATTTGCCTCTAGAAGTGAAGCAGCCATTGATCAATCAATCATCTCAAGAAAATACGGGTATAGTAAATGCCTTACAAAATTCATGTTTGATCTTAATAAACATAAGAATGAGCAACATCAAAACTACTTCAAACTAATGCATCAGCAGAGTAACATACTCACATTTATCAAGCTATTCACAGCAAAAGTAGTTAGTCACAAGAATGATGAAAAAAAGGCAGCAACCTATGTTGCAGAAAGCTATGATCTTTGAGAAAAACCTGTTGTTTATTGTTGTACAAACTTTTATCAGTTACCAGTACAGTCTGCCGGCCAGTACTGACAATACAAGCAATTATTTAATATAAAACACCCATATGTTTGCAGGCATCTCAAAGTGATATGGTAATGGTTCATAAAAACATGATTGATCACCCTAGCATTGTTAAACATGTCTGCCACTGTTGATGAAAATACAAAATTTGAGACAATAAACCAATAGAAATATTGTATTTGAGTTGCTGTCTTGTTGACACAAACCCCATGATCCCATTTGACATTGATGGTGGATCACTCAAATCATATCATTGAAAAATACTACAAAGGACAAGTTCTACTGTTGAGACAAAAACTATACTTTCATCATTCAAATTTGAATTGTCAAGGTTACATATAAACAGAGACTTATATGTCTCTGATATAAATAACACTTTAATATCCAGAATTTACATTACATGTGTTCCATCAATTTTCATTGCATTTTTGTTTCAATTTAGAAAGTGTCCCACCAGGAATAAATCAACTTCATATTTTTTTTTGAATAGTCAAACACTACTATTAAATCTTTGCTTAAAGTATTTTATTGATCCAGTAATGCAAGAAATGTCTCCAGAATGCAAAAGTCATGAACAAAACTTAAAGTTTCAGAAGAACAACACCAATGATATTCAGAAACAAATCTTTAAACCCTCTGCATGGTATTATTAGGAATTGTGGTATTAACTCGATTACTATCAAAAATGGCTAACACTGATTGATTAAAAGGTTGAATATAGGAGTAAAGCACAACCAATAATTGCCATTTTACTCAGCCGTTTTGGATCAAATGGTTTTGTTTTCTATCCAGGAATACTGTGAATAGCCTTTATTAGTTGTTATTGGCTTTGTACTAGCTGTCAATAACTATGAATACTCTACAATTTTTTTTTTGTTGTTATAAATTAGGCCGAAGTTTTTTTGTCTCGCCTGCGACGAAAGTTGCAGTATGCGAGACGTACGTAGGATTACTATCCAGCGGCGGCGGCGGCGTAAACTATTTGTATAAAGCTTTATATTTCAGAAGGTAGAAGACCTGGATGCTTCATACTATGTATGCAGATACCTTATGTTACGAAGTTTCCGTCTGTCATATGCCCATTGTCCTTGACCTCATTTTCATGGTTCAGTGACTGCTTGAAAAAAAAATACACATTTTTTTTGTTATGTGAATTTCTCACTTGTTATGAGTAATAGGATAACTATATTTGGTATATGGGTTTCTTGCAACGTCTACATGTCCGTCAGACAGGGTTTACCTGACCTCGACCTCAATTCATGGATCAGTGATCAAGGTTAAAGTTACGTGATTAGGTCCGTTTCTCAGATACTACAAGCAGCAGATCAACTATATGTGGTGTATGGAATGATTGTAAGGGGTACATGTCAGACTGGCAGGTTTTATCTAACCTTGACCTCATATTCATGGTTCATTGATTATTGTTCATTTTTTGTGTTTTGGTCTGTTTTTCAAGTACTGTAAGCAATAGGTCAACTATATTTGGTGCATGGAATGATTGTAAGGTGTACATGTCTGTCTAGCTAGTGTCATCTGACCCTGACCTCATTTTCATGGTTCATTTCAGCGTGTGCACTCTTGTTTTCATTTGAACTGTTTCACATTTTGTCATGTCGGGACCTTTTATAGCTAAATATATGGTATAGTTTTTAGCTTACCTGGCCCAAAGGACCAAGTGAACTTTTCTCATCACTTGGCGTCCGTCGTCCGTCGTCGTCGTTAACGTTTTACATTTTGAACTTCTTCTAGAGAACCACTGAATGGAATAAAACCAAACATGGCATGTATGTTCCTTATGAGGTGCTGACCAAGTGTTGTCACTTTGTAGCCGATCCATCATCCAAGATGGCCGCCAGCGGGTGACTTAGTTTAACATAGGACCCTATGGGAAATACATACACATGTCTTCTTTTAGAGAACCAGTGAATGGAATGAACCCAAACATGGCATGAATGTTCCTTAGGAGGTGCTGACCAAGTGTTGTTACTTTGCAGTCGGTCCATCATCCAAGATGGCTGCCAGTGGGTGACTTAGTTTAACATAGGACCCTATGGGAAAAACATACAAATGTCTTCTTTTAGAGAACCAATGAATGGAATGGAACCAAACATGGCATGAATGTTCCTTATGAGATGTTGACCAAGTGTTGTTTCTTTGCAGCCGATCTATCATCCAAGATGGCCGCCAGCGGGGGACTTAGTTTAACATAGGACCCTATGAGAAATACATACAAATGTCTCCTTTTAGAGAACCACTGAATGGAATGAAACCAAACATGGCATGAATATTCCTTATGAGGTGCTGACCAAGTGTTGTTACTTCGCACTCGGTCCATCATCCAAGATGACCGCCAGCGGGTGACTTAGTTTAACATAGGATCCTATGCGAAATACATACAAATGTCTTCTTTTTAGAGAACCACTGAATGGGATGAAACAAAACATGGCATGAATGTTCCTTATGAGGTGCTGACCAAGTGTTGTTACTTTGCAGTCGGTCCATCCTCCAAGAGCGGGGGACTTAGTTTAACATAGGACTCATGGGAAATACATACAAATGTCTTCTTTTAGAGAACCACTGAATGGAATGAAACCAAACATGGCATGAATGTTCCTTATGAGGTGCTGACCAAGTGTTGTTACTTTGCAGTCGGTCCGTCATCCAAGATGGATGGCAGGGGGTGACTTAGTTTAACATAGGACCCTATGGGAAATACATACAAATGTTTTCTTTTAGAGAACCACTGAATGGAATGGAACCAAACATGGCATGAATGTTCCTTATGAGATGTTGACCAAGTGTTGTTTCTTTGCAGCCGATCCATCATCCAAGATGGCCGACAGCGGGGGACTTAGTTTAACATAGGACCCTATGAGAAATACATAAAAATGTCTCCTTTTAGAGAACCACTGAATGGAATGAAACCAAACATGGCATGAATGTTCCTTATGAGGTGCTGACCAAGTGTTGTTACTTCGCAGTCGGTCCATCATCCAAGATGGCCACCAGCGGGTGACTTAGTTTAACATAGGATCCTATGGGAAATACATACAAATGTCTTCTTTTAGAGAACCACTGAATGGGATGAAACAAAACATGGCATGAATGTTCCTTATGAGGTGCTGACCAAGTGTTGTTACTTTGCAGTCGGTCCATCATCCAAGAGCGGGTGACTTAGTTTAACATAGGACTCATGGGAAATACTTACAAATGTCTTCTTTTAGAGAACCACTGAATGGAATGAAACAAAACATGGCATGAATGTTCCTTATGAGGTGCTGACCAAGTGTTGTTACTTTGCAGTCGGTCCGTCATCCAAGATGGCTGCAAGCGGGGGACTTAGTTTAACATAGGACCCTATGGGAGATACATACAAATGTTTTCTTTTAGAGAACCAGTGAATGGAATGAAACCAAACATGGCATGAATGTTCCTTATGTGGTGTTGACCAAGTGCTGTGACTTTGCAGCCGACCCATCATCCAAGATGGCCGCCAGCGGGTGACTTAGTTTAATATAGGACCCTATGGGAAATACATACAAATGTCTTCTTTTAGAGAACCACTGAATGGAATGAAACCAAACATGGCATAAATGTTCCTTATGAGGTGCTGACCAAATGTTGTTACTTTGCAGTTGGTCCATCATCCAAGATGTCTGCCAGTGGGTGACTTAGTGTAGCATAGGACCCTATGGGAAAAACATACAAATGTCTTCTTTTAGAGAAGTACTAAATGGAATGGAACCAAACATGGCATGAATGTTCCTTATCAGGTGTTGACCAAGTGTTGTTTCTTTGCAGCTGATCTATCATCCAAGATGGCCGCCAGAGGGGGACTTAGTTTAACATAGGACCCTATGAGAAATACATACAAATGTCTTCTTCTAGAGAACCACTGAATGGAATGAAACCAAACATGGCATGAATGTTCCTTATGAGGTGCTGACCATGTGTTGTTACTTTGCAGCCGGTCCATCATCCAAGATGGCCGACAGCGGGGGACTTAGTTTAACATAGGACCCTATGGGAAATACATACAAATGTCTTCTTTTAGAAAACCACTGAATGGAATGAAACCAAACATGGCATGAATGTTCCTTATGAGGTGCTGACCAAGTGTTGCTACTTTGTTGCCGATTTACTGCTCAAGTTGGCCAGCAGGATATTTTATTAAATAACGACACCAATATTTTACCAAATTTGGCCTCAATCATTATTTGGGTATCTGTTATGATTTTTATCTATCTTTACATGATTTCTAAAACCAAAGTAGAGTCAGGTGAGCGACACAGGTTCTTGAGAGCCTCTAGTTTCTCATTGTTGAAGACAGTACGATGGATACGTTAAGTTGCTTAAATCAACTTCATTTGGTCTCTGTTGGATCTGAGACTACTATAATAATAACTATTACAATGTTATAGTAGTCTCAGGTTGGATAGTACTCTCATTGGCAATAATACCAAATCTCATGTTTTTTATATTATGGGACTGTTTTATGTTAATTATTCCAGATTTTCACTATAACTTATTTACTGTAATCATAACAGAACGATTACGAATGGTATTTAGAGCGTCTGTAAACAGAATTTTGACAATTTCTCTCTGCAGAATTCAGGAACTATATTTGCTGCGATGTAGAAAATATATCTATATTTAGCAGGAAACTTTTTAATTGATTGTTACTGAAGGGTTAACAGTGTAAATGTAAAGCAGATAATTGACTATAATTGAACAGAATCATAAAACATGTATGGATTGATTATTAAAGCTCCTGTACTATATCAATTGTATATTATTTGTTTTATTCAAAGTTTATTCTCTCTCCATTCCAATTCTTCTGACTTTCAAAAGTTTTATTGTCAGAGTATAATATTGCACACTGTTTGTTAGATTTTGTTTATTGAATTATCCTTTTAGTTTTAAAGCAACTAAAAGAACCATAACAACACACAATATAGGCATGTGGTGTGTTTGTGAGGCGGTGTTGTGGCTTTGATTGGGATATTCTACAGTTTCTCCCGGCATGATGGGTTCATCTAACAAGGACATCTGACAACTTGGTATCCGTGTTTTATGTGTTCCGTCACCACATGTAGGAACTTCGTCTGTCTTACAGTAAAGGTTTTTGTCAACAGATAATACTTCTTTTCTTGCTAAGTGTGAAGGTGAGTGCAATGAGCAGGTGTTATTCACTAGTTCAAAATCTTTTGCACTACGTCCCACTTCAAAAATCCATGTTGTATTACACGAACAGTCGATTGCATTTTGATGTAACTTAATTTTCTTTACAGATGGATTTTGTAATATGTTTTTAAGCCCGCACATTGAAGACGGAAATGTACATCTGATAATTTCAAACTGATCGATTGCATTAAACTTCTGGAAGAGTTTTGGTTTCATGTTCAATACTTGGATTGATTTGAGCTGCACAAGTCTCATATTTGACCACTCATGGAATACAAAGTTCTCCATATTGGCAGCATCGAAATTGTCCATCACAAATTTGTCCACGTGTTTTATATCATTGAAAGCGTATTCATGCAGTTTTTGGACAATCACTTTTCTCATTACTATTTCCTTTATTTGTGAAAGGTGAGAAAATCCATTTGTGACAATTTGACCAATCCTCACATTTGAAAATTCTAGTTTTGTCAAATTGCTCAAGTCCGATATTGAACACGTGTGTATATATGTAAAATTTGAATTAATAAAACTTATCGTTTTCAAATTTTTAAACGTTTGTAAATTATTTTTCCCGAAGTTGCTGAACGATGAAACATCAAAAACTATATCTACCATATCGTCTGGCAAACCTATTGGAAATCTATCTAGCCCTTTACAAATAACTTTTTTGTCTTTGGAGCATGTGCACATAAATGGACACTCATCCGGATTATGACTTCCAACTGTAACTATGGTGATGAGGAAAAGGAGGAGTTTCATTCTAAAAAAAGCAAATGAAATTAGATTTATTGCAACTGTTTATAGTTCCTTAAAATTAGCATGTTTAAAAAATTGTACCCACTTCTCTCAGCTCCTTTAAGGAAAAATATTCTTTATTACGCCCCTTCTTCTGGTCCTGGTTATCATGCATATCAAATATTCCTACTTTCAAAATATTGAACCCAACTCTTTCCGACCTCTGTTGTCAACAAACATATTCAAATATCGAATCCATCTCTCGCTCTCAACTGACGTCAACGTTAACCTATTCAAAATACTGCATCCATCTCTCGCTTCCATCCGAAATGTTAGCATGTTAAAATTACAGTACATATATCAACATCTCTCTCTCTCTCTCTCTCTCAACACATGGTCGATATGTTTAGATACTGTAGCCCTCTCTCTTTTCTTTCCCTGAATGATGTCAATATATTCAAATACTGTGATCTCTCTCTCTCTCTCTCTCTCTCTCTTCCTTCTCTCATATATATTACGTGCAAAATGTAATACTACATATTTCACGTAATGTTAATAGGTATGACCGTGAATCAGATGCACAATTTCATTTTATCCAGCTTTTATTAATGAAATAGGACTTTGGGCGACACGAAAAGTGAGATGTACTCTTATCATTTACAATTTATTCATGCAAAATGACATAAGTACCGATGCATAATAGAACATGAAATAATTGGTGAAATCTTTGTTTATTACTCTCCAATTTTTGTACATTGTTTCTGTATTTTCGTCACTGACATGAAATTTTGAACTTTTTATAAATCCAGTAAAATCCATGAGCATTCCAAATACAAAACAGTGCATGTTTTAAAAATGGTGATATAATGTGTGTACTTCAGTGCAGACTTATTTTTTGGAATATTGATCTTAAAACATATATTATCATGAAAACAGTAGTTAGATTGCTTGCAAAAAAAATGTGGGTTTTTGTACCGCTCTTTTGTAATGGTTAAGTAAACAAAACTTACCTGTAATTTTGGCTTGTTCAGTGAAAAATCAGGAAATGAGATGCATTTGAAAAAGATCGCATATTATTAGATTTAGATTATGAATTACAACAATTATCCAACAAGCAATTTCCTGTGACACACAAAGTAATGACAGGAAACCCTAAGTACAAAGTTATAGGTCGACGTTCACTAAAAAAATCACAATTATTATCAAATATTTGACATTGTTAGGAACAGTGTATTAAAAATGATTTTGTATAAAGTACTATACGAATTTTAAATGGGTTAATTTCAAAGGATAATTTGTTTCAAGTTGACCTATAAATTGTTGGTAATATTGAATAAGAAAAGGAATTAAGATTTCGAAAATGAATACTCTGGCCTGGTAAGAGCTGAAAATATATACAAGATGGAAATGAAAATTCTGCAATTCAAAACTGTGTACAAAAGTGAAAATAAATTTTCGAACGGCAGCCCGTAGAAAAAAAAATAAGCAGGATTAGCAACAGATGAGAATGAATATTTAATCCGCAAAAAATCCTCCTCTACTCCCGAATTTGAAATGGTCGTCCTCTTACTGGCAGGCAGCTAGGGTTGATGAAACATACAAAGAGAAGGTGCAGTCGAAATACAGTGTTATTTATGACAATATGACGAATCTGAATAAAGTTTTACTTACTTACTTAATCCCCCGTGATTATTGTGCAACAAACAAAATTACTGCCTCTTATGAAAAGTCTCTGTAATGCATTTTTTTTCATTTTAATTTAAAATGGATAGAGTAGAATTCAATCTATGATTATTAGTAAGTGTTTATAAAAGGTGGTATGTAACTCTAAACATTTTGTACAAACTCTTTATATATATCCTTAATTGGTAATCTGACAATTACAAATAGAAATGTATCAAGTATATAAAGTGTGTGTTTTAAGTACTATTATGCAAGCACTGGTAGATAGAAATTACAGGAAATGAAGTTAATTTACATTGAAAGTAAAACTTGAGCAATTCATTTCATTCTGCACTTCATCAATCTGTATATAATAATTTTTGCATAAAAACAAAAAACACATAGAAGTCGGTAAGTGGTGTAGACGATCAGGATGATGGGCAACGCAGGACACTTGTTCTCTAGCCCTCTCTACCAAAACACAGTAGATAAACGCATCGTCCAAACATAATTTTGATTTTCTAAAGGTAAAAAGCTCGTGCTAAATATGTATAAAACATTTTAATATACACCTGTGTATAGCATAGATGAAGAAAAATACTCCAAGCGCAGAATACTATTAGACACATTGCTTAAGCTATGTCTATAAAGCGTACACTTTTTTAAATTTTTCAACACCCTAGCTAATTCAAAATTGATTTCAAATTAAGTTTTTTAAGCCTTCTTATAGGATAAAAGCTTAAGTTAACAGAACTGAGTAAAACTCCCAGAAACCCAACCCATTTATATAATTGGCATACTTTTAAATCTTGTTATACAGCATTTACCAAAGGATTTATATAGTGCTTACTATACAAATCCTTGGTTTACCCATGTAGTAGCTAGTGCTTTTATATTGACATAACTTAAAATCATATTGTAATTTTTGCACTAATGTTATGTTTATTTGAAAGTTTATATGTATTCATAGTAATGTGCAATTATGTTTTACCTTTTCAATTTTCGTAAATTCAGAGCAATTAGTTTTATATTTCAGGCAATTATATTGGATTTTAAAATCAATCAAAATTAAAGTTTACTAACTACAGCTATAGTCATGATCTTTTTTCAGCTAACTGAAAGGAAAAAAAGGATTTTATAATTTGCTAATAAACGATCCTCCATATACTTTATCATATTTTTGCAAAGTCTAAATACAGATAGTGTGTCCAGTCTTTGCGGGTAAGTAGAGCGTGGAACAGAATCAGTATTTTTGTTTTTCAGATTGGCTACGTCTCTTGGTGGATAATTGCAGTCAATATCAGAAAGGACAAACAATTCTCAGAATGAATAACTACCACCCACTTGCAGCCATATCTTTGTCTTTGTTTATTTGGAGCGAATGTATACATTGCAATTATTCTGTATACCAAATAAAGTTGCCTTATAACTCATGATTAGTCAGAACTGAATACAAGAAATGCAGTATTCAGGTATTTTAACTTCTATAAGGCTATAAAGTTTTATACCAATAGTTTACTCTGCTACAAGTTAAGCATCACCCTGTCTTTTTAGTCCTGGATGTAAATATTTATCTTTCCAGGATGTATGATAAATAGGTCAACTTGTCTTTTCCTATTGTCAATTTTCCTTTCCGTCATGATCCTGTTCCAATTGGCTCCTTCTAAATGGATTGTGCACACTCGGTTGATTCTTTGTGTATGTGTTTGCAGCCACATCAAAGATTTTAAAGAGCATAATATTTTCAAAACTAAAAGTTTGGTACAACATACATATAGAAATCATAAATTGGTCAAAAGTTTTACTAAATGTTATCATCCCAATTATAGATATTTATGATGGAAGTGTGAATCTTAAACAGGAATTTAATAAAAAGTGGTGTTTCACAACCAGCTTTTTATGATAATACTATTTATAAAGCCAACACGCTTCAAATTATTTCTTTCTGATGAAGACTTGTTGAAAAATATACTTATACTGTTAAATAACTTGCTGTGGAAGTTTCAGGGATTTTTTTTCAGACATCTTTTTGGTTATTTATAGTATGAAGACAGACTATTTTTTTCTTTCTGAAATTCTGCAGTTTGTTCTGGGGATTTAACAAGACAGTCACTATGTCTTTCTGAGCTATGTATTAAACTTCTGTATTTTTACTTGTCATATCATCACTTATGTGTGCTTCTTCGTTTTCTAAATTAGGCTATTCTATTGATAGAAAAATAGCGCGCAGTCTACCTGTATTATTTGCCGTATATATAGAGAATAATACATGGCAAAATCCGTATCACATGCCGTATCATCCCGAGATACCAATATCAGCCCGAGGGCCTTTAGGTCCGAGGGATGATATTGGTCGAGGTGAAACGAATTTTGCCATGTTTTGTACGCTTTATCATATATTTAAACTGGACAGTATATAGGAACTGCTTACTGATCCAAAGCACCTGGGTTACCATCAGATTTATTTTTGCCATGTTTTAAAAGCTTTATCATATATAGGAACTGCTTATTCATCCGAAGCACCTGGGTTACCTTACAATTTGGGTCCTGTTGTCCATAGACATATTTTGTTTATTGTATTTTTTTGTTGTTTGTTTGTGTTTTGTATGGTAGTTCATTGAGTTCTTTTTATCCTCCTTTAGTAATGTTGTACTATATAAAACACATTCTGAATAAAACCTGTTTATAAAACAAATAGTAACAATAAACCAACAATTTAATAACAAGTATACTGTAATAAACAAGAGACTACTTTGAGACTGATGAGTAAAATGTCCACTTTTGAAATATCAAAATTTAAAGTTTTAACTGTCATAAATGAGAAATCCGAGTAGTAGTGCGATAAAGGGGCGTGATAAAGGTTAGACATGCGATAAAGGGGTGTGATAAAGGGTGCGCATCAAAGTTGAGCGATACGGATTAAACAGAAGGCTATCTATCAAATATTCAGAGCTACTGTATTTACTACTATACATATCTTGATATCCCCCATGATTGTCTAAATGTTTGTAATAATTGTGTATTTATCATTTATGAGATTGTCGGTCAAATTGTGACAGTATTTGTGAGATAATTTGCAAGTTATATTTTTATATGTTGATATTAACACACAGCTGTGTTCCTCAATGAACAGTTGTAGCGTGATCAACATCAAGCAAAGTAATCACTCAAACTGGTTCTATTTGCCGTCTAGAACTTGCATTGAGGTCAGTGTTTTGCTGTTGAAGGCCTTAATGTTGTTACTGAGATGAATAACAACATTAATAGTGATTTTACTTTGCTTTTGGTGTTTTCGTGAACATGTAATGATTTTGGTTCATGAATTGATAAATCATATCCTTTCTGTTCAATTATGACAATGCTGTATGAAATTATCTATGCAGTATATCCACTAATATTAGAGTTTTAGACAGCGAAGATTCAAGTCAAGGACTTTGAGACATACCACAACCCCTTATTTTTTTATGGGACTGCATTGTGCAAGTTTCTTCAAATGTTCATTATAACTTGTTTTCTTCAATCATAACAGAACGAGTATGAATGGTACTTTGAGTTTCTGTTCAGAAACTATCTTTGCTGTGATGAAGAGAATATATGTGCCGGCTTTGATTGGGATATTTTTACTGTTTCTCCCGGCATGTTAGGATATTTTTCTGTTTCTCCCTGGCATGATGGTGTATTCTATTGTATTTCCCAGCATGATAGGTTCATCTAACGCGGAGTACATGGTATCCGTGTTTTATATTATCAATCGCATAATGTAGGAAACTTCGTCTATCTTACAATAAAGGTTTTTGTTAACAGATAATACATGTACTTCTTTACTTGCTAACTGGGGAGGTGAGTGCAATGAGCAGGTATTATTCACTAGTTCAAAATCTTTTGCATTTCGTCCCATTTAAGATATCTATGTTGTATTACACGTTTTGATGTAACTTAATTTTTTTTACAGATAGATTTTGCAATATGTCCACACATTGATGACGGAAATGTACATCGCAAACTAGTCCACGTGTTTTATATCATTGAAAACGTATTCATGCAATTTTTGGACAATCGCTTTTCTCATTACTATTTCCTTCATTTGTGAAAGGTGAGAAAATCTATTTGTGACAATTTGAACAATCCTCACATTTGAAAATTCTAGTTTAATTAGATTGCTCAAGTCCGATATTGAACATGTGTGTATATATGTAAATTTGAATTAATTAAACTTATCGCTTTGAAATTTTTAGACGTTTGTAAATTATTTCTATGGAGTTGTTGAACGATGAAACATCGAAAACTGTATCTTCCATATCGTCTGGCAAACCTTTGGAAAATCTATTTATAAAAAATTAAGATGTGGTATGAATGCCAATGAGACAAGAGACAAAATGACACAGAAATTGACAACTATAGGTCACCGTACGGTCTTCAAAAATGAGCAAAGCCCATACCGCATAGTGAGCTATAAAAGATCCCGAAGTGACAAATGTAGACAATT